CTAGATAACTTATGCTGAGCGGCTAGCCTGCTCCGGAGCAGGATAGGTTCCAGGATAAGAGATCAACTCAGTGAAAGTTTTGCCTCACTGCCTCCTTTTCTCTCTCTATGGTGTAATTTTCGGTCTAACTTCTATTACTATGTAATACCCTCTATACTATACTTACTTTATTTACCCTTGTTGTAGCTAGCAGACGTGAGTGTCACGGTGCCTGACATTCCGATGCCATTTAACAAAATGAAACTTAGGCCCATGAATACAACACGTCTTATAATTTAATTCGAAAAGTATTATCATAATTATTATCAATATTAACCAGTCTAACGAGACTCTACCCTCCACGAATTAAAGATAAGTAAAAGTGCAAGTGGTGTCAGCCCTAAAACCGGCGGGCAGAAAGGGACCGTTTGCCGTCAAATTTTGACCATAAAGGATGGCGTGTGACTTTCGAGACTAACCAGTCGTNTACAGTCATTCCTGCAGCCCTCTTACACTGAATTGACTGCGAGTGTACTGTCTATCTCCCGACAGTATGGGTGGAATCAAGAGGAGTTGTTTCCGTCCATCTTGATTCCACCCATACTGTCGGGAGATAGACAGTACACTCGCAGTCAATTCAGTGTAAGAGGGCTGCAGGAATGACTGTAAACCCTGACATAACTCAGCATTGAGTCCTTAAACCCTGACATGACTTAGCATTATGAGTCCTTAAACCCTGTCATGACTCAGCATTATGAGTCCTTAAACTCTATCATGACTCAGCCTTGAGTCCTAAAACCCTGACATGACTCAGCATTATGAGTCCTAAAACCCTGATATGACTCAGCATTATGAGTCCTTAAACCCTGTCATGACTCAGCATTATGAGTCCTAAAACCCTGACATGACTCAGCATTATGAGTCCTAAAACCCTAACAGGAATCAGCACTAGTTCTCTAAAACACTTGACATGACTCAGCATTCTGAGTCCTAAAACCCTTATACGAGTTAGCTTTATGAGTCCTAAAACTGTGTCATGACCTGTAATTTTAAGTCCTAAAACAGTGATATGACTCAGCATTTTATCACTTCCTTTTCTCTCGCCTGGAGGTCAATGGTTTTCTGAATATGTTTTTGGTTGCAAAAAAAAAAGTATCTTTATATAAATGTCATGATATTAGATTGTAGCAATGAATGGGAGCAGGAAGCATTGAGACTGAGTTACTTCCCCAGTGTTAAAGACTGGAGATATTATCTTATGCTACTACCTTCACCCACAATTGTGAGTTCAATAGAAAAAAGAAACTGTTATCGTTGTTCAAAGCAACACATTTAATGCTATGGTCCAACTTCAGCCAGAGCTACAGGTTTTGTTTCTTTTGTATTATACACAATATTTCAGAAATAGCTCAGTCCTCTTAATGTCTTTTTATTAGTGTTTAATCAGTTCACCTTATTGTTTCACAAAGAGCTAACGCAGCACGATCAGAGAACATGCTGCTGATGTAATTGTTCAGCGATTAAATCAGCAGCATGATCAGGGAAAAATACTCCATTGTAAAAAGTTGGTTAGAAGATGAAAGAATAAGGAAGTGGAACAGCAGCCATTTTGGCCTTAAGAGTAAATATCTGTACTCTTGTACGCTGAAATAATGCACTTTGCTTTCGATGGTCCCCAAACAATTCCCATGCTTCAGCACGTATATCCTCTCAATATTTAGCTTTTTGGTATCAAGACACTATCTCGATAATACTGAGAAAGCTGATTCCAGCCTGATGTCAACACTTTTGTGAAAAACAAGTTTTGATTATTCACCTAGTTGTAGATTAAAACTTTGATTTGGAAAACACTCTCCACAGTGTGTGTTCTCTGGAGAACTGTGTTCATGGTGTTTGGTAACAGCGCGGCTGCAATGCAAATCACAATCAGCCCCTCTCTTGTTGCTTGTTATCTCCTCTTTAGATGTGGAATTGAAAAACAGTCCTTGAGCTGGGCTTTTCCACAGAACTCGCCCACACACACACATATTTCTCAGATAAAAACATTTCTTGACGTATGGGTGGAGTATATTCTGGGAGATGTTGTTTACCCTTCATGCTTGACATTTTTTCAGAGTGGAGGTGGTTCCAAGCTGTCCTTCTCTGCCCGTTACATGTTTCAAAAGACGACGCTTGAAAGCTGTGCACGGCAATGTAGCACACACTCAATTATACACGCGTCTGATGGAGTCGAGCGTTCGAGCGTGGAGAAGGCCTCTTTGTAAAGCCCATTTTCCCCTCGTACAACTCCATAACAACCATCTCCGTCCAGAAGTCTTGAGAGCCGTGAATAGTGGAGAGAGTACTACAAGAAAAACTTTTGTGCAGGAGCTAGTATTATTATAAAACATTCAACCTATAGCATGTATTCACAGCAGAGGAATCAAAGCAGTATGACTAAACAGCATTATGATATTTGTATTGCTTTAAAACCAAAACATCTATACTTGCCATTATAGTAACATGAACTATTTATACTTATTCATATTGGAAAGAATCCTTACATCACGTTGTTAAAATAAGCCAATAAAACGTATATTATACAATTTATAATCCCCTAACGTCAACAAGCCCTCCGGTCCCAGCACACAGTGGTTTAAAATGCTCTTAATATAAGAGTAATACTTTTGGGCGTAGTTATGTTTGTGACATAGATTGTCAAACGGATGTAGGGATAGTGAGAGACCTACTTTCATCTCAAAAATATTCTCTTATAGATATTTCAATTGCCCTGAGCGTCTATTAAAGCACTTATTTTTCAGTTTGGAAGTGCAGTTAGCTCAACTTTCCCATGACAGTAAATAAAGCATCCATGGAGAAGCAGTAAATAATGTAAAGACACAGAGGGGAGATGTGCAGGAAGAGGAAATGGAGCGGTAAAAGGTGGCACATTTGTCAGGACGGCCCTGGGGCTAAAAAGCTCATCTGAGACCCCCCCCGCGCACACACACACACACACACACACACACACACACACACACACACACACACACACACACACACACACACACACACACACACACACACACACACACACACGTGTTTAAACATAGCTAGGTAACACACCTTTATATTAACAATTATTACTTTGTCTTGTTTTGAGCATTTGAACAACCTCCTTGCATTTGTTTGTTGTCAGTCGTACTATTGGAGCATCATTTAGTATGTTTATATTTAAATGGCTGCTGTTCAAATAGGCAAAACACATTTTTTTACAACATACATGCATTACATTTTGTTATAAATTCGGAACATTTTAATGATATTTAACCTGTTGTTTTTTCAAATGTATCCCTTTTGTGTGACAGTTGCTCCATTTCAAAATAAAAAATTGAAAAAATGTACTTAAAAATAGAAAGTTAAAGGAAAAGTGTGAAATTAAATGGTACAATTAAACTGAATAGAATACAAATATTGTTGATGAATATTGGAAGTTAAGTGAACAATGTGTGTGTTCTTCAATGTATGCAGTGGTGTATTGGTATTAAAGAAGACATGAATGCTGAAGGGCACAGTTTGAGTGTTTAGCTGCTCATGGTCCAGTGTGATTTAAGTATAAACCATTTTTGTGTTTTCTAATGATTTAGAAACCCATTTTCAAAAGATACCCGTGCATGCATGACTCTAGAAAATATAATTTAGCAGAGACATCTGAAATACACTTACATTTAACAACATATATAATACATTACCATGTTTATTTGCATAATATATAGTGTGGCTCGTTTTCTGAAGGTAATAACATACCATATGATAAATACATCCTGTTAATGGAAAGTGGAAGGACACTCGGAGAGCAGACCTCCGCCAAGGCTGTGTGCATTGGTGGGAATAGATGTGTGTGTTCTGGCAGATAAACAAACACATTGCACAACATAACCTCCTTGTCATAAGTAATAACCATTGCTGCAGTTATTCCTATTGCGTTTACACTCTTTCTATCACAAGTTAACTCGCGTCACTCGAATAAGATGCACCTCTAAGTAGATACCAATAACCAACAAAGTTAACATTTTGCCGTGATTTAATTGTAATGCCCGTTATCGATAATGATGCTGAATTAACATCATATCAATACAGATTGGAAAAGCCATTAATTAACTAGCTTTTTGAACATTAAAGCATGAAGACATGTCACAGTAGAGGCACTAGATACTAATATCAACTTGAACATGAGCAGAATAGGGCCCCTTTAACTTTACATGTAATCAAGCTGCACACATAACTCTTTGCGTCCGATGTGAACTCACCATTTAACCAAACTAGCCCCTAACTATCTGAATTATTATTTCAGCTTTTAGAAAATGCACTTGCATGGTATATTGTTTGTCTTTTGTTATACTACATTGTCTAAGGTTGCTTGAACATATCAATGATTACAACCATAGTGGGTAATTCACAGAGAGAGAGGACACTCGCTAAGACTCAGTAACGCAGTAATAAACAGAGCTCACCAACTGTATTCAGAGTCAGTTTTTAATAAAGGTCATACTTGATGTAGCAGTGTAAAAATGCCACAGCAGATCTATTTGTTTATTGTCTGTGTAATCAGTGCTCAGTGGCTTATAAAATCTGCTATAAAGATTTTACAACTATCTCTGGTCCGTATGAACAGTGAGGTCTGTCTTTTGCTTTACCACAAAAAGGCTGATTAATTAAAAGAGGATATGTAGTGCGTGACGCCCCTTTAAGAGGAAAATTATATATATTTTGTTTCTGGCCTAATAATGTAATATGCAGTACATTAAGTAAAACAAGCAAGCGCTCTTTAATAGGTGCACACAGGGAGTGTGCGCATGAGCCTCGCTGAGTGGAGGTGATAATAATTCTTGGAACAGGTGCTGCACCGAGAGCCCCGAGGCCCGGGGAAGTGAATGATTAGTGGCACTCCCCCAAGATGCATTGCTCCTTCTGTATTAAAAAACCAAACTCTGCCTTTTATTCCCTGCAGGGTTTATTAAGTGGGCCAGTTGCCATAGCGACGCTTTGGCAGGATATTGCCAGGATAAGCTGTAATGGGTCTCCTGACGCAGTTCACTCTGCTGCTGTGGAAGAACTTCACTCTGCGGAAGAGACAAAAGGTACGCTCTGCAAATCAATGTGTGTGTGTATTGATATATAAATATATATATGTCTGCTCAGTGTGGTCAGTCTTATCAAGTTATTCATGAGTGCAGGGATTTACTACCAAACAGCCTCCTATAGCAGTAAGCTGCCTTCAGAGAACAATCTCTCCTTAATGCTCACCAATTCCACGTGTCACCTTCAATTTGAGCAGATCTGTCTCTGCTGCACATTATGTCACATGGCCTGACTTCCTGCTCTAACAGAGCCAGTGTGGACTAATATATGGAATAGGGAGGGATGACAGATGTTAAAATGCTTTGTTTGAAGGGCAAACACTGTCTCTGGTTCCTCTTACAAACTCCATGTCACTGCAACAACTCAGAAATGTTTGCTAAATGTGCAGAGTTTACAAAAATCATAGCAGACAATTAACTGATTATTCAACTGACACTGATGGTGCAAGCTTCAGCTCACTCTCTGCTCAGCTTTCATCATTTAAACTTGTTTAGTGCTCCAACAACTTTGATGGCTAACATGTGAAGTGTTTATTCAACTGTCTTCAAGTGCTTCAAGGATTCCTATCATATCATATTTGCACCTGTGATTTGTACACAGTTGTGAAGCTTTACTCCTCTTATCAATGTTGGCTCAAAAGTCCACAGTTTACACAAATATTACCAGATAACAAGTTGTATTATTTACTCTTTAGCTTTCTTTGAAACTGCTGTTACACCTCACACACAAACTGACACTGACAGTGCAATCATCAACTATCCCACCGCTAAACTTCAGATCAACTTTGACCTGCTTTTCCTCATTTTCACTGCTTTCAGTGCTCTTGCTTCACCAGCTTTACGTGCATACAAAAGTAAATCTGACTGCCTTCCACTGTGTTAAGTGCTTCAACTGTATTTATATGTATCATATTTACAATATCTGCAGTGTTTGCAGCAGTCATTTTCGGTCTAAGCAAGCACTCACACATTTTAGTTATGCACACTTAGCCTCTTATACTGTAGTTCAGCTTAGCGTGTCATCTTTGGATTATTTGGGACTTTTTTTATTTAAGCATCTGAAAATTTAGTAAATGCTTCAAATGAAAAAGTATTTAAATATAAGAAGTTAAGGTTAAAAGTGGACATTCAAAAGATTAACTAGTAACATACAATATATAAATACGAAAATAAGAAGTTAAAGTAAGTCTGCAATAAAATATAACGAAATAATTATGTAAGCATAAGAAGTTGAAATCAAAATGTGCAATAAAAGATGACAAAAAGAATGAAAATATTAATATAAACAAAGGAAGGTGGAGTAAAAATGTATACAACATACTGTATATAATTGTAGATAATATCATAGATTTTGTAAACACTATTAAACTATGTCAATTTACTTTTAAAGCTTAAAAATTAATACTAGCAGTGCCTTTATGTGAATGCAAGACTATGCAAACGTCATTGATGGAAAGAGAAAACTTTGCAAATGATATCCTAACTCTGCTGTTGAGCTCAAGTCTCCCATAATCCATTGCTGGTGATACACAATATAGTGATATATATGGCTTTATTGCAATCCTTGCCCCCCCACTCACGCTGGACATGAGGTCCCATGCTGGGGGAGATGTGTCACTGCTGCATTTCAACAAGTTGTCGCTGAGTCTCGTTATATGTGTGTGTCTGCTACAAAGGGCTGCAGTGTGTGTTTGATTTACAGCAGGAGCATCCTCCCACTGGCAGCGAACAAAAGACACCTTCACAACAAAATCTGCTTTCATCAAAGTTTCTAGGAATGACTCAGTGCAAAGTCTTTTGCTATTTCAGAACTTTGTATCCGGGAAATATTCTCCTTGTTAATTTGATCAACTAGCAGAAGGAACAGGAAGACTATGTGAGAGGGCAGTGGAGTTCATGTGCTCTGAATGTAGAATATTTGGACGACGCCGACATGAAATATCGGTATTAGACAAAACCAGTGGGAGTTACAAGGACAATGGAGCTTGTGGAGGGCTTGTGGAGGTTAATGACCAATTATATGAATGCCTCAGCAGGCATTTTAAGATTTTATAACAGGCATGAAACTGATTTTATGGTCCAGTATTTCACATAATTTCATAGGAGGAGATTATCTATTCATAAAGGAAGCTTGTGTCCGATGGCAGACGCCTGGGGAGGCAGTCTGAGAAAGTCCCCATGATCGCTGTGCTCCCTCTCCATGCCTTTCCCATGGAATACATTATGATAATTCACCCTCTCAGCAGAACTACAACTCCACACACACACACACACACACACACACACACACACACACACACACACACACACACGCACACGCACACACGTACACACACACTGCAGGGATTTAAAGGACTTGCAATTTGAAATTCTCAATCTGCTTTCTTTGAAATAGTTGAAAAGTAATTTTTGACACAATTGTAATACTAAGGCTTAATGCACGTTCAACTGAATAAAATCCCTCTTGTGCTGCAGTAACTGTAATTGATAACGTTGCCATGGAGCTGTGGTATTTTAAGCCATACGTGTTATTGTATTCTCTCACCTCCTCTTTAATTATGAAGACAGTGTAGCTGCTTCCTGCTGGACATGATGGCGCAGGGGATTGTAGAGAGCGTGCACGAGGAGAGGGTCAGCCCAGGTTAGCGTGCAGGACTTGTAGGGAGGTGTCGGGGGGGCATAAAAGTCTGAGAGGTTAAACAAAGTGAAGGCAGGAGTAGCTGCAGCTTTGTCCTCCTGCTAGATATTTCCTCCCACTGAATTATGAAATGCAGAATTGCTAGTTTGCGCTCCGCTTTCAGAGGAGCGCACTACCTTGACTCTTGCATAAAGAAACTGTTTCCACAGTGACGGATAAGTAGTCCAGTGGACCTGGAATACCTGATTCAGATAAATGCTTAGCCCTCCCAACTCTTGGTGCTTTGTCTCCGGAGCATCCAGCAAGGCTGCAGGATTTCAAGAAAGAGGTCATTAAATTGTGCTTTCTCTTCACACATTTCCCCTGGGGAGGAAATACAAACCTAACATGTCACATGCTGCCTAAAGGTGTGGAAGTGGTTGTGTTCAAGTGAAGAAGAGGGCGCTCTTCATCCGTGAGAAGATTAAATGTGATAGCTTCTGCTGCAGGAGACACTGACGGTTTCTCTATCAATCCAGGAAGAGCTGGAGTAAAAACATAGAGAATAGAGCTTGTGTAGCAACATCTCATGGACACACAGCGTCTAACACTCATGGTCCAATCTCCTTTGCTTTGACTTTACCAGTGTTTGTCACGCTGCTGCATGATGTCGCATTTTTTGGAATATACAATGCAAATGCTGTGAGCCATGATATGTTCCACTCATGTATTCCATAAACAAATTATGAAAATAAGAGCGCTTTTCTCTGCTCTCATGCATGCAGGTGCGTCTGGTGGTGGAATTGATCTGGCCTCTGTTCCTCTTCTTCATCCTGGTTGGGGTGCGCTCCACCAACAATCCTGTGTTTAAAGGACAATGTAAGTATGCAAAACCTCTTAGTTGGGATGTGTGCTTCCATAATAACTCAAAGCTAATGCTTGTCTTACTATGTTTTGGAAAATAATGACTTTGCAAATTGATGTGATTCACACTATTGAAGGGATTGATACATTTTTTATCATAATTTTCTTTTAAGAGGATCTGTACAAATAAAATATGTGTCGAAGTCTGTACAAAAACAAAAACAATTTCTCTGCAGCTTCACATAACTACTTCAAAATGATATTCAAACACATAATTAGCCTTTAACCAATACTGGGCATATTGGAATATTGCACTAGTCCATATTGTGAATTTGTGATATTCAGGAGAATATAATAATAAAAACTGTCTTCATGCAGGTCACTACCCAAACAAAGCCATGCCCTCGGCCGGCGTGCTGCCCTGGCTGCAGGGGATGATGTGCAACATCAACAACCCCTGTCTGAACTACCCCACCCCGGGGGAGACACCGGGACAGGTCAACAACTTCAACAACTCCATGTACGCACAGGCTGCACATGAGGAGCAAACAGAATATGATGGTTGTTGTTTCTTATCAGTTTCTGGTGTTTTCTTGCAGAGTTGCTGGGATGTTAGTGGAGCTGCAGACGCTGGTGGTGAACAGATCTATTCTCAGCAAGGCTCTGCTGCTGGCAGACGACCTGGAGCAGTGGGACTCCGTCCTGTCCCAGACCAACACTGCTGAGGGTAAGAACACCAAGGTCTTAATGCAGCTGGACACTCTATATGAAAAAAACTAGTTTAGAGTATAAGTCATAATCAGAGACAGGTTTATTGCCATATAGGATTCACATACAGTACAGGGGTGTGCATAATGCATACATAGATAGACACAGAAAGAGAAAATAAATGGTAAAATATGACAAAATAAATGGAAAACAATTGTGTGCAGTATTGGGTTTGAAAGTGGATAGCTATGCAGATTTATAAAGAGGTACTTTTGAAGAGAAATGTGCAAAGTATATTAAAATGAACAAGATTTTCTAACATGACTTGCATGAAGTATTTTAAATCCCTTTCGCCATAAATGGAAATACAATGGTGATTGAGCCTTTAACCTGCTGATGAAAGGATTTACATTTGCAGTAGGCATACAGGACACAGGAGTTGTTTCAAGGAACTTTTTATTTTTTATTTGTGCCAATTAAAAACAAGAATCATAGCCCTATAAAAGAGGTCATCAGAAAAAAACACTAAGAAATATAACAGTGATTAAACAGGTGTTGACTGAACAAACCGACCTGCCAGAATGACGCAAAATGGAATATATATAGTGGCTAAGCCAAACCAAGTAGAAGAAAATAGGTAGTTAAGAGAAACAGAATACAAAAGGATTGGAAGGACATGGTTTGTCCCAAATTGGATCGAGTATATAGGAGTCCTCAGCCCTCAGCCACGCCTTTTGCTGAACCAGGAAGTAACTTCCCCAAACGACCACGGAAACGCATGTCTGTAGCCATCACAAAGTCCATTCCATTTAGGTAATCGCTGAACGAGGTAACACAATGGAAGCTGAGTCCATAACCCACTGATCAAAGGCCTTACATTTGCTAAACTTTGGTATTATGACAATTATACACATATAAAACCATGTATATAATCCAGGGGACAAAACAACACTTTTAAAGACACCCCGTTAGACTTTGAGGTAATCCTTATTAGCACTCAAACACAATCATGGAAATGAGTCTTCTTCATGTACAAGTTGTATTGCCACTGTTAGAAAAAGTACAATGTTTAAAAATACTCTTCCTCAGCAACAATCTGTGTGCTGCGTTTTTGCTACGTCATCTCCATCAGGGAAAGTATCCCCTTCATGGTGATGACAAGTCTCAGGATTTGTTATTCCCCTTTATCCCTCAAAAACAATGGCGCGTGATTATTTATGATGCAATTTGCCTTGCAGACTGACACATCGTTTGTCTTGATAAGTTGCTGCTTTGCATTAGGCTCATTTAGCCTGATGATATTCAGATTTTCATACACCACCTCATTTGCAAAAACACAAAGGCGGGAGGGGGACTGCTGTTCAACAAACGGCTCGGGGGCCATTTGCATTTCGGGGTCGCCGGCTTGTAATATACAAGATTAAATCCATCAGAGATCTGAGCACGGGCATAATTAACGGGATTGGCTGAGAGCAGAAAGGTCATTAACAAGAATGAGACTGAGTGCTATCAAAAAAACTGAAGGCAGAGGTGATGTTGTCGTCCCTTTTTTTATTTTACCAAAGGTTGATTGAAAGACTGAGGTGGTCACTTCAATCAGAAACAGCATGTTCCTCCTGCCGGATCTCACCTCATGCTGCTGCTGCTTTAAGGCTATTATAACACAAACAGCATCATTCATTCCACACAATGCTGAATGATCGTTGTTTTTAACAAACACGTATCCTCATTGAACTCTGAGTCACCCAGTATCACATCCTCCCACATCCTGATAATTGACTACAGTACCTTGCATGTGTTACACTTGCAAAAGTGCTGATCTAATTAAATTATGTAACCCCTCCAGCATCTCTCTGTGAGTCTCGGAGAGCAGAACACACATGTTGAGGAGATGCAGAGCGTGCACCTCTCAATGAGCAGTCTATACGTGTGCAGCTAATCAGGAGAACATGTGTGTTTAACAATCAGCAGCACATTGTCTCCTCTGGCTCTCGTTCAGCTCGAGTATTCAACAGTATTTCACCAACCAACAATTTCATTAACAGAAAGCATCATTCAAACTCAATTGCATGCAACTGCAAAGCAACATGTAAAACAAAACACTATATTTCCATAAGGTGCATGCATGAAGAGGGTTCATTTCCATGAGCTTGGCCCTTGTTTCTTTCAGTTAGGATAACATTGCTGGGCAGCTGCACTGCAGTGATCCTGAAGACACAGACTTTTAATGTTTTCATTTCAGAATAAATCCTGCCGTCCTATTAGCTCCACAGACACACTCTCTTCCATCGTTGACAGATGTCCATTAAGGCAAATGACACACACATGCTTATATGTGAACAGTACTGTGGAATTCAAATGCAGGAGAATAGACAAAGAAAGGAGGCAGAGACATAAAGGCTGCAGAATATCTGCAGTGCAGATGGCGAGTGAGGAGCTAAAACATGGATGCAAGTATCAAAATAATGCTGCGTTTGAAAAAACTCTGAAATATAACACTTTTTAACTTCTGCTAGGACGCCTAGAGTCAAATCCATGTACCCTTGAGTTATATCATGTCACACACAAATGGCAGCACATTTTAACCGTACAGCATCAACTTAACGGCAATACAAAGTATGTTTACATTTATTTAATAAAGAAATGCACAGTGTATCATACAGTCAAACCTGTTTTGAATGTAAATGGATGTCAAAAAATGCCAAAAGTTGGACATTTCAACTGAAAAAATTAAGAAAAAACAAGAACACTGCTGTTGTTTCAGAAAGTGCATTTCTGTAAAAATCACAATCCTCCATCTTTGTTTCAGCTCGACCTGTGATCCTGAGGAGTCTTCTGAGAGACAATGAAACCTTCTCCGCTCATCTGGAAGAGGACTTGTCGGTGCCTCCATCAGTCGTCCAAAGCCTCCTGAACGCTCAGATTAAACTCAACCCAGTGAGTATCATCTCGTTACACTGCCTGCAAACAGCCTCCGATAAGAATCCCAGCTGCTTTGAAACATGATTTGCCACCTCCTCGCGTAAATAACATCATTTACCAAAATGTTCAAAAGCCCAAATGTGCCAGGAGATTTTGTGTTTGAGCGTTTAAAAACGTCCCGGCCAAGAAGCGCTGCCTGTGGGACTGCTTGTCTTGACGGTTTATAATCAAAGCAGACTGGAGCTTCTGCTTGATAAAAAAAGGTTGTTTGAAGATGACTTCAGTAGGTAATTTGGAATGAAATGAAGTCTTAACAGCAATAAGAGTGTCTTGTCTCTTAACGCTCCTCAATTGATGCAGGGTATGTACAGAGTGATATCAGATGAGCTGCAGGAAGGTAATTATGTTTCTCTGACATCGATAAGGATGCTCAAATACAATGTGCACTGATGAAAAGATCCATGCTGCTTCAAGATGTAGCGTGTGCACGGGAAGTCAAAGTTCCTCGTCTGTGTGTGTCGTTCTAAAAGTTAGTTTATCAGTATTTATTACAGGATGATAAAGTCAAACGATTGATTTATATTCTATGTTGCATGCTAGGACACAACACATGATTAAATAGAATATGATCCAATGCTAAGTTCTGAGATTTTGTATTTTTCAGATGATGAACGCCCTGCGGCCCGGCGCCCTGCAGAGCGTCCTGTGTGAGGGGACAGATCTAGACGAGTACATCCAGTTCAGCACCGCGTCAGAGAAGGAGGCTTTCCAAAATGTCAGCTGCTTGCTCGATCCTCAGCAGCTGCTCAACGCTCAGAGAGTTCTGCTGACGAACCTGGACGAAAGGAACGTTTTCTCAGAGGTGAGACCACATCAACAAGTCACAACTCTGAGATCTGGAGGAGCTTTAACAGTGAGCGGGACACAATTAGTCTCCTTTTTTGGAGAGTGAATTCATTTGGGAGAGGTGTTAACATTAATCGGGGCCTTAATGTCTGCGCTTGGATAGACCTAATTCCTGCTCAGCAAGGTCACCCACATCTAATATACACTATATCTATCACTGTCAGCTTCCATTCCATTTCACAATCGCTTTCATCCGAAGCGACAACTCAAAACTAAAAGTGCTTGTGCATTGATTCAAATGAGCTAAACACTAAGCTATCCACTAGAAGCACGTGTGACGTGTTTTGAAAACCACTATTATACCTTTTTACTGTTATTTGTGATGCAGTTTTATTCCTAAACTATCCTGAGCTGTGTTCAGGGTTGACCAAAACTTTTTAATCTTCAAGCTTCAGCTAGCCAGTCTGCCTTTACATTGATAGAAAGGTCTTAAATGATTCACTGTGATATTGTCTGTAATATTAGTTTGCTACAATATGCACTGATCTCTTCTCTGCTGGAGTTATGAGATGTATTCTAAATTGAGAGATGAGTAATAGGAGTAAACACGGCTGCACAGAGGTAATTTCCAGCATGGATATTCCATCAGTTACGTCCTGTAAAATGAGACTCTGCAGCTTAATACAGTTTACAATTATTTGGGGAACGTTGTCTGTTCTAACTATACGTCTCGCTTGGCCTGCAGTAAATAGAATTTCAAAGACAATGATTTTCTGTGCCAGACAATTGAGTAACCAATTTTAAAGTTACATTCCGCTTGTCAGGCTCTGTGACTTAGAGACATGAAGAAATATGTTCAAAGTAAAAAGCTGCTAAGCATCCCCTGTCAGGAAAAAAACCTACATTTCATTGCTGCTCCATTATCTTAAATGCATTTTCATTGTGACTGATAAATAATTTTCTATACATAGCTTTTACATTTGTCATTGTCACGTGCACCGCTGTCTCTTCCAGTGATTTCAATCAGGAGGGAATTATTTATAAGTACCAATGTTTTGTTGAGTTCTTTTAAATCTGCAGCTTCCCTTTGGGATGATGAAAGCCTGCACTCTTCTTTGAGTTTATCTCTGAGAGGAAATATATGGGACAGCAAATCCCATAAATAAGTGATAAGGCAGGAAGTTGGTAGGGGAGAGCATTTGAACAATTTAAGCCCGCAGGCTTTTTCGGAGAGGAATAAAAAAATGCTCAGACAAGATATGGGGGGAGGCTCTTCAGTGCCGTGAGCAAATGGATGGAAGTGAACATCAAGGCTTCACACTTAAAGCCCGACGCTGCTGAGTGATTGTGATAGTGACAGAAACATAGAGGAAAGGACAAGAGAGGAAGTCAGGGTTCATCACCGCCACGACTTGTTTGTGTTTCTGGAAATCATTTCAGGAACACAATGCACGGGTAGGAAAGGTCAATCAAATGTCAAGGTGTGTTTTCTTTGTCTGGCTTTAATCTCCTTATTAACTCAACAAATATTACTACAAACAACTATCAAAACAAACGCAAAGAAGAGTTTGAACGGTGAAATATCTACCTCCGTTTATGGATGACTCAGCTGTTTTTCTGAGAACCCTCTGCTCCTCTTTACATGTGTTTTCAAAGTGTCATTTCATTTCCTGTAAGTGCATCCGCTCCTAGTTCAATCCTTTTCCTGATGCATAAAAACGACGGCGGTTAAAAGGGCACGCCATTCGTTTCCTGTAATTGGACGCGTTCTGTGTACCTGCAGAATGTCACAGTGACACACAGCGGCACTTAATGCAGTTTTTATTAACCAGAGCCAGGGATGACGATGTTAAAACACAATTTACATTTGGTATGCACACATTAGCGCTGTCGTATAATGTCTCCGTCTAGATCTGTCCCAGCGAGAGGCTAAGGTTAGGACGCCACAGGTGATCTCAGGAAATGAAAAACGTGAATTCATGTGGATATTTTAACAGTAAATCTTGGCTGTACAACTCAGGAAATAAGAAAGGAAACATTTTCAAAATGTCAAACATTCCTGAATGCCTTGGATATTTCCTTTTCGGAGCTCCTGTATTGAGTTGTTTCCCTCCTTCAGGTGCCTGCAGCTCTGGATCTGAATGCAGCAGACACCGCCTCCCTGTTGGGGAAAACCACTCGAGATGCATTACCAGTGTTTGAGGAGGTAAGTGTCCCTACACCTGACAGGAATCCACATTTTAAACTCTACCGTGATGTGGCTTTTTCCCTGTATTTTCTAACTTTTACTCTCTTGTCTCCAGGTGGCCAGGCTGCAGAGCTCCATGATCTTCCAGGCGGCCAGTGCATTGGATTTCCGAGCAGACATGATGGGCAGCATCAATATGCTCCTGTGTGGAAAGCAGCCTGACGTCAATATGAGCCGCAGCTCACCTCAACTGAAGGACAACAAGGAGCCAGTCTCCATTGCTGCGGGAAACAGCTCTGGTGAGTGCTTCATAAAGGTGTCACACTGTAATCATGTCTTAATCATGTTTCTGTATGCGGCAATGGAAGGCAAGACTTGTTTTTGCAACCAGTAAAACAAGAAAACAATGTTTGTCAAGAAAACAATGTTTGTCAAGAAACCACGTGCTTACAATATAGAAGATTGCATCACACTCTCTTGTCAATCTCAAATATATAAAGTTTGTTTCTTGTGAAATGAAGACTTAAAATGGGATTTCTTCTTGGAATAACCCCCCCTAGCTGGCTATCAATCTTAAATTGGCCTAGAATGGTTGTAATATGCCGCCATATTGAAGTGAAATTAAAGTTTTTCTGCATTTCTGTGGGTTAGATAGGTTGTATATTTAATAAAATACTCATTTTATTTGATCGAGAACCCTGTAATCCCTTATAAGTGTGCTTGTGGGTAAGGAAACACACAATGGGTTGTGTTTTGATGAATCTGTGTTGCATGGCTCAGTCAGCTGTTACGTGTCATGCCGGAACACACACACACACACACACACACACACACACACACACACACACACACACACACCTGTGGCACTGTTGGCACTGAGCTGCACACTAACCGGCTCTGATGAGGAACACGGTAACGGGGCTGGCTTCAGTCACACCCAATCAAATCAGATCCTCTCATTTCATCTAAAAGCTGGGCACCCCATATATCTGAAGTATTCCAGAACAACTTATCCATTGGATTTTATGTATGAAAATAAGAACATATGGTGACCCAAACTCCCCTCAGAGGACAGATGGTGTCACCAAAACACTTTATTGACTTCTGAATTTGAATTTTACTCCATCCAGCAATTTTACTCGCATAAAGTTCAGTAATACTTTAAACTGTCCTGCAGCTGTCTCCATTTCTCTCCCATTCTCCTGAACAGATGCTCTGTGTAAACCTGTAAACATGGGATTAGGGATGCAACCATTTCAATTAAACTAAATAATGATAGTTTGGTGTTTAAGTGCCAGCACAATGCATATATGATTTATAGGTCAAGTATTCAAATAAATGTCCATTTAGTTACATATTATTATTTATATATATTTGTTGTTGTTGTTAACCTACACTGCAAATGCAAACCTACAGTATAAAGACATACTCTAATTGTACTCTATTCAGTTTAATATAAATAAATACAATTCATGTTGATGCTGTATACTAGGGAATAAATAGCCAGGCAGATTTCATTTTAAAAAGTCAGAGTAAAATACAAGTATCAGAGTTGTTGTAGGTGTTGGTGGGGATGCTTTGAAAATCCATAAAATATTTGTACTTTCAGATCTTCAGTGCATCTTCCTGCAGCCTTGAGCTCATTAGAGACTGTGTCTTCCTGCTTCATTAAATGTCTGTTCTTTGGAGACAACTGCACAAAATTAGATTTTAATAAGCAGCTTATATTCCCGGGGAATGTCGTGAACACAGCAAAGTGGAATTGCATGCTTGTGCCAGCCACAATTAGCACAAACACTGTGTCCTCCGTACAGAATAAGCACTAACGTCTCTGTTAGCATGCTAATGGCTGCTGTGGATACGCTGTGCCATTTCCTTCTGCCAGTCTGTGTACAGTTAAATGAACCTGGAGTATGCAGCGTGTCTGCATAATGGCCAATTACAACTGCTTTTTGTGTGTGAAAGCACACTTGGAGGAATAGTAGAGAAGCCAACACTGAGTTTAGTTAATGGCTCAGCAATGTTCCCGTCCCAATTAATGGCTGACAGCAAAGTCTGCATCGTTATCCAAAACCAGAAATAACTGTTCATCCACTGCTGGAACTTTAACTTTTAACACATGTGCACGGCAATAACAACAGCACACACTTAGATTCATACACATGTCCGAGAAGTTAGATTTTAATATTAGTGGGTTGGCTCATGTTGTCTACTTAAGTCGCTGTAGCTTTGCATGTAGCACTGAAGTAACACTTTATCTTTGTTCGCTGCGGACTTCTTGATTGAAAGTGATTTAAACATCAAGTTCTGTCAAAATAAGCTTTCCTCTCTCATCCGTCCTACTTTCCCCTGTGTGATTCTCCCTGACATTGTTCATAACTAATTATCTCGAGACTCGTGCTGTCATCCTCTGAGGATTAGCCCCCGGGCGTCTCTTTAAATAATTAGTAATGGGTACCCTTTATTTCTGGTTTAAGCCCCCCCTGTAATACACACTGAGGCAGATACCTGAGTGTGGAGCAGAGAGAAATGTCAGAGCGCCTCTCCGTCTCCTGAGAGGGACTTCGCTGACATTTATTCAACTTTATTTGACTTTGTTCAGGAATGCTGCTGACAGCACTTGATTTGTAGCTCGTGAAGGAAACTGCTCGATTGATTCGTGTGGTACTTCGATTCAGACTGACATGTCATTCTCATATAAATGTGTGTCTGTCTTGCATGAAATACCTGAAATATGAGTATCGTGAACCTCGAGTAATATCCTTTTCTGTGTGTGTGCAAATGTGACTGTGTGTGAGTGTGTGTCGCCGTGATGCTGAATTGAGCCCGTCTCCAGGGTGCAACTCAAATTGATTAAATTTGCAGGTAAGTTGAGGGGGCTGACTCGAGGCTCCAAGCAATTATTTGACTGTGGCTAAAGCCGCAGCACAGAACAGATTCTCTTGTTCCCTCGTTTTGAAAAAAAAAGGCATAACTCTCCGTCACCTCTCCGTAGAGATTCAAACCGCTGTAATCTGATGCTCCCTTTAGCACACACAATATTAAAACCTGATATATCTCTCCCAGGATACAAGTGCTTGAGTGTTATCTATATTCATGCTCCATCATGGAGAAGAGTTTTTCATCTCTGAGCATTTTGGTTCTTAAAAAATCTCTCTCATAATCAAATCATTTGTATTAAATAAAGTAGCACGCTCTTTTTTTTAAATTGTTAATCTTTCAGTATATCATGATTGGATTAAAAAACGGTTTTGGATTAAATACATATAGGAGCTGATTCAAATATCTCCTCCACTCCACTGTATACTAGTGAAGTTGATAATGATTATCTTAGCCTACCACGGTATGCGCTAGCCAATAGAAGCGCAAATATTACATAGTGATGTCACTATGTTTGGGAAGTAAACAGATAATTCTAATGGAGGTGTTTCAGGCGGGGGGGGGGGGGGGGAAGTGTGTTGGAGAGAAAACTCCCTCTGGAGGGAAAACAGGGATTAAAGCCTTTTCCAAACATTTAGATAACATTTAGATAACCTTTATACAACGCTGCATGGAAGGGAAAACCCCAACTTTATGATTTGAAATGCATAATATAAAATTATCTCCAATTAATTTCATGTGTAATTTTTTCCTAAATACTCCAAATATTAACCCAAATAATTGCTGTTTGTACAGAGTCCCATATTTTGCACAAAAAAAGCCGGAGAGAAACTACAAAAGACTAGCATCATCTCAATACAGGTTTTTTTTATCTACTTATTTTTTGCCCATGTTATCTGTTCACCAAATTGCAGGTCAACTTTAAGATTGACATGCCGCAGTTTACAACTATCTAACCAATTAAAAGCATTTTCTTGAAACTTCAACACAAAAGATCTAAGAAACAGCAGCGCGCTGACTCTAGGAAGTGACATCAGTGTAGTGTGTGTGCAGGGAACAGCTGGCCACACTAAGACTAAGGGCCGGCCATTAGCTGCACACACACACACACACACACACACACACACACACACACACACACACACACACACACACACACACACACACACACACACACACACACACCTCCCAGGAGCACCTGGGAAAATGGCCTGGAGGCAGAGAGGCTAACATTTAATTGCAGTGAAAATGGCCACTAAAACCTCCCTGATGGGGCGATGGAGGAGGAGGAGGAGGAGGAGGAGGAGGAGGGTTGTGGTCTAACAGGGAAACATGGAAAGTGCTGATGTCATGACAAAGTGAGATAAGAAGCAGACGGTCGTATTGACTGGCAGACGACTCTCTGCACTCATCAATTGTCTGATGAAGTACCGCGCTGCAGGAATCCTATATCCTCAACAAGCTGGAGTACTGCAGGCTGCATCCTCGCAGTGCAGAGACTCCTGTGCCCTGAACGCACCGTGCAATATTAACGCTGTAGATATGTTAAATTAGTAATGATCTGCAGAGCACATTGACTTCTCTCTTGTCCTCAGCTCTGAACTCTAGGCCTGTTTCCACATGGTGTGTCAATAAATCAACTGAAATGCAGTGAGGTGGCAGCAACTGTCCACTTCATGAGAGTGAAGTCCATTTATAAACCAGGAACACATCTTGAAAAATAGAAGCAATGGCTTGTTATTGGGGCCTATTCTGCTTTTTCTGGTTTTCCCTTTCCTGTAGTGTGTGAACAATAGGTTTGTGTGCATGTACGTGGTCTGCAAAGGACCAGAGGACCAACTATAACTCATACAAGTACAATTTAACATAAGTAGAGAGTTGTTAATGCATAAATGTTGGTGTTATAACGTCAGGTTAATATGCTTGCATGTGAGTCATTAAAACATATTTAGTTTATGACAGCTGTGTTTCTTTATGATAGTTCTGCATACCCCCAGAAATCCCATCATCATATTTATTCTGAAGTGCAGTGATTGCATGAACACTGTCCATACAGTGTACATTTGTTTCATGTTGTTATAACTCTGTATTACAGTGTGTTACCTAGCAGCCTCTCTTTGCGATGTGATGCGATGTGTTTCTGCTGTGGGAAAAACATGCGCACTTTGATGATACAGATTATAATTAACAAATTAGTAGCATTATGTTTCTGGAGACAGAAGATCGAGGTCTTTAAATTATGTAAAATAAATGTCTGGTTTAGTAATAAATAAGTTATTAAATGCATGTTTATTTCTTTCTATATTCATATTTGCTCAGTACTGTAGGTTCAGAAGGAGTCTGGTAAGAGGGTCTCACATGAGTTTCAGCCTCATGTTTAATATTGATCATGTTTTCTTCTGCAAATTCACGGTGCAGATCAAACGGCTTATTTCTTTCCTCCTTCCGACGAACAGTTTGCACACAGGATTCTTGACTTTCTCTTCCTCTCTTCTCCTGCAGACGCTTTCTGTCAGACGCTGGTCGAGACCCTGGAAGAAATACCTAGCCTGCGCTACATCTGGAGCACCTTCAGGCCGCTGCTGCAGGGGAAGGTCCTCTACACCCCCGACACCCCCGCTGCACACCTCCTGGTGAAAGAGGTACCAAACATTACTCATAATGAAAGAATGACAGGCACACTTACTTTATGTTTATTAAGGATCCCCCAGTAGCTTTTGCTCTTGACACAAGCTACTCTTCCTGGGGTCCGACACTTAAAACAATACAACAACATTCAAGACATAATTCCTGACATCATTAACAACATTAACAACATCATCAACAATTTCCAACATCATCAACAATGTCATCCACTTTCAATACCAATCTCAGCCGAGGATGAGTGCACAAGACACCCACCAGCCCAAAGCATGAGATCAAATGAAATGATTATTATCAGAGTTTGAATGGGTTATTTATCCCAGCGGGAAATTGGGTTTCATGACAGTTGCTTCATTTAAGAATAAAAATACAATCATTTCTATGAATATAAGAAGTTAGAGTAAAATGTGCAATAAAAGGATGAACAAAAAAACAATATCTATTAAAATTAAAAAGTGCAATGTGCAATAAAAGATCAAATAAAATGAAATTAATTATATAAACATAAGAATGTAAGAAAAATGCAATACAAATAAGTATACATATTTGTATACAAATTTGAAGTAAAAATACAAAATAAAGAGATGAAGTAAAAATACAGTAAGAAGTTTAATATAGAAATATCTCTTAGGATTGATGGACTAATCGTGAATATCACGGTTAAAGAAGGTTTTTAGCAGCTGATGGTTTACTCGCACTTGATAAATATGTGGACAGGCTGCTTGTGCTTCAAATGAGTAGATTTAGAAAAAGCTAAAACACATTCTCCCGTTGAGTTGATATATCTAATAATCTTCTGTAAACAGGATCAGTAATTGTGTGAAGAGCCTCCTGTGGGATAATACAAACTCTGGATGTCACACAGTTAGTTACCACCTGTGGTATACATGTGAATAAATAAGAATAAAGCGGTGCAATAGTTAGTCAGGAGCCTGTTGTGTGCTGGATGTAATGCATGACATGACATTCCTCCAAGATATTAGCATCATTTTGATAACTGCAGGAGCAAAACAAACATCCGGCAGTGGAGAGGATTTGTTTTCAGAATGCATAATGAGAAGGAGAGAAATGCTCACAGCGAGGGGCCCGGTGCTGGAGCAGGGGCCCTTCACACCTCACAAACACACTGTTTACAAGTCAGTGTTCAGGGGTAAATAAGCCCATTTACATTCCTCAGCATGGGGAGGGGGGGTTGTTACAGGGAGCTCCTCAGGGATGATACTCTCAGCCTATAGAAGAGGCTCAGTGTGTGTTCACTCAGAGGAAGGTGAGATTATTTATTGTTGAATATTGTTTTTTGTTTCAGGCAAACAGCACATTCAACGCCTTGGCCCAGCTGAGAGAGCTCGCTGAGTCCTGGGAGGAAGTCGGGCCCCGGCTCTACAGCTTCCTGCAGAACAGCTCTCAAGTCAACACAATACGGGTGAGTCTTCAATCACATAAGCACACATCATCTTTTTTCATTTTCTGTATTTGTAGGTACAAGTTCAGAGAATAATAAGCAGGAATCTGCAGGAAATAATCAAGACGTATTAAAACTGCGCCGTACAAATCGTAGAATCCGAGATTTTGGGAAAAATGTTGCTTTTTGTCCAGAGTTTCAAGCACTCCGAACTTTTTTAATCATTTTTAAATGTTAAACATGTAACATGCACATTTTACGTCTTGTACTTTCTGCTCCAAATAAAAGAAACCCTAAAAAAGTGTGTTTTAAAAAAAAATGTAGGATCATTAGCTTAGCATTAAACTGGAAATGGATCACTAAATAACTTCAACATGTCATTAGTGACTTGTTTCTGTACATACAAAAAGGTCAAACAAGAATATCTGGTTTTAGGAAGCATTATTTGTTGGATAATTTCTTCGTTGTGCAAATTCACAGAAATGCATAATTTTCCCTTTCAATTTGTAGAATAGTTCCTCTTTTTCAAAACTGACTCAGAGGTTTCTCAGTGGCTCATTGGCACCGTTTCCTCTACACTTGACTGCACCTTCTAAAACACCCTCCTTCCCTGTGTTTTCTGCAGCTGAACTTTTGAATACAGAACAAACTCTAGAAGATCAGCTTCTTTTAAAACCACCTGGTATTTGTCTCCTTAAAAAAGGAGCTCCAGTTGAGACTATGCACATGTGGTGTATATAAATTTGTCGCACCTTCTGTTAGGAATGGAAACGGAGGGAGGGAGGTAATTATGGATAAGTGCAGGATAATTTCCACCCTGGCAGAAAGGATTATCCACACAAGTAGAGGACATGGACTCTTCCCCCCTTCCCTCCCTTTCCTCTCCTTCCTCTCGCCGTATTTCCTTGACACTCACATTACTCCAGTGTCACTCCAAATGAGCTTATAGGCAGCTGCAGGGAGCACACACTGGAGCTCCATATAGCGTGGTATTCATTACCCTCGCCCTAACCTTTACACAAATGGAACCGCAATCCTCCTTTGTCTTCATTTTCTCCCCGCTCCCTCTCTCGCTGCACCTCTCCGCACCGAGCTGGTGGCTCCGCAGGTTTGTCATCTTCTGAGGTTCCTCAAGGTCGTAGACACATTTTCCATTGATGGACCAATTACCATCAGCAGTACAGACATTGTGTTTGAGCGAGGAGATCCGGAGAGAAGGACATGCTGTGTGCAGAGGCAACGTGAGAGTGCCTTTTACATCTTGTTTACACGCGAAGGTGCTTTTACAGTGGTGGCAGGGAGGGTCGTTTTGTTCTTCAGGTCCCAACAATTCTACTGAAGCTTCCAAAAATAAGATATCTGCAAATAAAAAGCAGAATCTGTAGAGGACGAGATTTTAGTGTCATTTGTAGTCCGAGTAATATCGACTAATCCCAGGCGTTGATTCAATGCAAGTATATGCTCTCTGTGGAGGGCAAGAGAGGGACTTTTCCCCTGTTTTATGCACTTAGGAAGTCATTTCCACAAAGCTTTTAAAGTCAATGATTTACCAAATGTAATCAAGATTATACTTTTTGTAATAGTAGAGTAACTCCAAGTTAAAAGCCACATCTGGAAGCCACAGGACAAGAGTTTCAGATCCTTTTTAGTCTTTTTTTGGTCAGAGTCAAATCAACCAATCATGTCGCAGGCTTTGGTTGGATACAGGTGAACAATCCTCCTGAAGGGCAACTGAGGCTAATGCTACATGCACGCTTTATTTCCTTTCAATCATTGTTTATCAAATCAAATCAAGTTTTATTTATATAGCACCTTTATAAACTATTTTTGGTCGAGCCAAAGTGCTGTACATAAAATAAAAATAGCCTACAGTAGAGACACTTTACAGCTAATACAACAGCACAGATTGTTCAGAATATCAGTATGACCCTCTATCCTTAGACCCTCACATCGTACAAGGAAAAACTTCCGGAGAAAACCCCACAGTTTAAAGGGAAAACAATGGGAGAAACCTCAGGGAGAGCAACAGAGGAGGGTGTTTAACCTCAGGCTCTATGTCTAAAATAAAACAATACTATATATATATATATACAGTAGGTAGATTAATCCTTGTAAGGGAGGAAACAAATGTATTTAAAGACCTTTAAAAACACATATTTTTGACATGTAATGTCCTTAACATAGCTTCCACTGTGACGGATGGAGCAAGTTTTTTAAAGGGCATATGCAGCTGAGAGATTTCCTAATTTGACACCCAGTCCTGAGGATATGAATAATACCATCCGAAGTGTTGACACTGAAATGCCACTGAGCACCCGGGCCAGAATATTTCTCAATCTCAGAGTTTCATACTTTAGAGGCCGGAAATCCCTGCTGAGGTACAGCGCACTTACTTTATATCGGAACATAGAAAAAACTGTATATTTCAATAGGCATAGGTTATGAGAGGTTAGTGATCACTCTTTAATTGTTTATTTAGATTATATTCAACCTTATTGTCATTGCACAGAGTACAATGATATGCAGTTTGCATCCAACCAGAAAGTCAAAATAGTATGAGGTTACAGTATAAACACATTGATTACACTACCACAAATGTTGCAAATGTGAGGCAAGGTGCAGACACTGTAAATATATCCACTACAGGAAATGCTAGCATTCACTGTAGGGCCGCACAATTTGGAAAATAATAACTCATTGCAGTCATTTAGAATGATTTTGCAATTGCCATATGTTTTGAAATATCAGAGTAAGATATCAAAATGGTCTTGATGTTATTTATTGAAGAAATTATGTACAAAAACAAAAATATTTTATAATAGTATATAGAAAATAAACATTAGGCCGGGACTCCTCTGCAGCACTGCATTATCTTTCCATATTTGTATTTGACTAAGTACTGTGCTGACTGCAATTTGGTTATTGCTTCACTCCATATTGCAATATCATGTCTGTTATGTACACTTTATTTAGTTAGTGTGGTCCTATTCATGAACATACTTTATTTGCATGCATGTTCTCACTATTATGTCCCTGCAGGTTGAACATACTGTACATTTGTACTGTATTCTGTACATGAGCACTTCTGGAATAATTGTAGCACAGTGTCATCTATCTCAGCGCTCCTAATTAACGCTGCAGCAGAATGACTATCACAGCTGACCTCCATGCTTCCTCTTCTGAAGCAGCTCGTCGTGCTCTCACCACAATTAAAAATCCCTTTGACATCAGGCGTTGCTGGGGAATCCGGTGTTTGCCGCTGTGTTGGATCAGCGCCTAGACAGCACGATGTGGACGTCCAAGCAGCTCACCAACTTCCTGTACAACGGGCCCCCGGAGGACCGCCCCCCCGGCATGCCCCCCAACGACTGGAGAAACGTTTACAACGCCACCACCGACATCCTGAAGCTGCTCTCCAACTTCCTGGGCGTGAGTCTTTTTTTCTTCTTCTGTGCTTTTATTAAATGCTCCTGCTGCATCGGAGAGATGGGGAAAATAGCATTTTCTCTGACATGTCAAATATAATTCTCCCTGGTGAGGAAATCGGTGACTCATATTTTCCCTGAACCCCTGAAATTACCCAGGTGAGTTCTCTGGTTGGATTTGGCTTTAAAAATAAGTTCATGTAACCTTTTTTAAAGTGCTCTCTTTTTAAAGTGCTCTCTTTCAGTGGCAAAATACGTTTTAAAATACCAATTAATCGACTTTTCCCCCTCAGTTGTTGGGTTATTTAAAAAGCATCCAGATGAATCAACTAAACCAGCAACTTGTCGTCTTTAGCGCAGAGCTTTTTGTGCCTTTTATTGCTGTTTTTTTTTTTATCTCCTGCTTGTGTGTTATTCTCATTAAAGTTTAATGTCCTTAACTTGAAAACTGTCGAAACATCTGTCACAACAACACAGCTTCCATGATCATCATCAAAAATACATTGTTATGTGCCTGACTACAGTGAGTCTGTAGGAGAACACACACACACACACACACACACACACACACACACACACACACACACACACACACGACAGTGATGTATTGATCCCTGGCACAATCTCCACAGAAACTCTTCTTCTCCCTGTGTGTGCATGTACACATATACACACACGCTTTAATATAAATCTACAGGCAGGTAAGATGGCAGCTTGGGTTGAACACACTCGCCCAATGAAGTTCCAACTTAATTAAATCTCTTTTCTGCACTTATACAAAATGCATCGCTCAGAACTGACTCCAGGACGATGACATTATTATACAGCCTGTACTGTGTGTTTCAAGTCAACACATCTGCAGAAATACAGAGTGTCTTCCAGTCCAGGGCTTAATATGACACACTGTCAGCACTACTGATGTAAAGGTTACGTGCAAAACACTAATATAGTTGAGTAAATGAAGCCTTATATAAACGAGTTTCTGCTAGAGAGCATATGAAAATCAGTCACATGTTCATATGCATCACTAATCTTACTGACAAACAATGCCTCCTTAGAGAGAGCGTGCTGTGTCTACATTTGTTCAATACTAGTTAGCCTGTTGCTAATAGGTGCCTGAAAGCAGAAATGTGTGTCCTTGAATTAATACATACTAGCATTTTAATAACTATCTGAGTCCATGTTCTGATTGGCTGAAGAACCCTCTGTTTTTATATCACAAGCTTAAACGACCTTTAAGACTCCTCAATGTACAAGTCACACCCATTCATACAGAGGAAGAGGCTGTCACACAAGGTGACATCCTCAAAAATCCTCCCATTGAAATGCAACCGCACTACGTAACAGCCACAATCACCCTAGGGTTAAGATATTGAGATGGTGGAATCTATTTAATGAAAAATGGACATAAGGTTAGTAAATGCAGCATTACCATTACTAGATTCAGATGACACTGCCCTAATGCTTTTTTTTTATTTTGCGAAAATATATATTCCTTTTAGTATGGTGTCATTATATTTATGATAACTGTCTCAAAAACATGCAAATATTAGTGAAAGATTGAAAAAGTATTGCTGTGGTGTTGCATGTTACTGGACTGTGATGGTTTTAATACACTAAAGGTTTTCCTAAAATAAGACTTTATATGTTGAATTGTTACACCTGTATTATGAAATGTATCATTGCGCCAGACTTAAAAATACACAATAAAAAGGTTGCATTGCACTATAGTAATATTTAGTAACAGGCAACATGTTAAAATATCTGATTTCAATAGAAAAGTCCCAGTCTACAGAAGTTATTTTACGAACTGGAAACATATCTTTGTTTGGTACAGATTCTCTATAGTAATCACACCATGAATATCTCTCAATAGTTATGACAATAAAGATGCTAAAAATGGTCATATCCTAATTGCAGTATCAGTGAAAATAAGTACCAACAAGTTATTTTGTCCAACTCCTGCAGCCTGGATTATGATCCATATGTTTCGCTCAGCTCTGTCCAAACTGTGTGACCGTTATAACTGAGGGATGCTGCTGCTGCTGTGATATTTTGTTTACCGCTGCAGCTTGATATAGCTCAGAGAGGGGGGGGTCCTGGGGGAGACATGATAAAACTGTTGCAGCGGCCGGGCTGTGTGGACAGCTGTCAGGTGAGACTGCCTCCCAGAATGCCTTGCTCATTATCCTTTCATGAAGCCGGGACGAGTCTGCAGATCGAGGCTGTATCTCATTTGTTGTCTCTGCTGAAGCCCAAAACATGTCCCCCCCCCTCCCCTCTGGCAGCGCCACATAATTTGGATCTCTGTTAGTCTGAGTGATGCTTTTCTCTAAATATCCATCTGCCAGTCTGTCAGGGAGTCCGTGCATAACTCTGCTTTATCCCCTTTTCTGTTGATTTGTATGAAACCTGCTTAATCTGTCATTTGTGGTACCTCTGTTGGCAGTGTTTGGACCTCAATAAGTTTGAGGCGGTCCCCACTGAGAGCCGTCTGTTGAGCAGAGCGCAGGAGCTCCTGGAGAACGAGACGTACTGGGCCGGGTTGGTGTTTGAGAACCTGCAGCCCAACGCCAGCCTCCCCCCGCCCTACGTCAAGTACAAAATCCGTATGGACATCGACGAGGCCGAGGGCACCACCAACATAAAGGAAAGGTGTGTGACTGAACCTCTCGTATCAGAAACATCCTGCTTCTGTTTTCACTCTCTCTGATTTGACACATTTCAAATTGTGTATAACGAGAAGATTTGATTTTGTGCGTCTGAATGCTTCCGTTAACAAGTAGGAAAAGAAACGGTATCAATTAATACTGTATTGCCATCAGTATCACTTAAGGGGTTATCCTCTAAAACTGTGGATTTAGAATTAGTGTTGCTATAATTTTAAAGGTAAGACTCTAAGAATTTTTTATTTCTTCAAGCAACCAGCAACTTTTCAAAGTATTCCTTTTAATCCCTAACATGAAGAATTCTGGATGTTTCTGATGTTTTCTTTTGTCTTTGAAAGTTTCCTGTATGACATGTCTCCTCTATAAACCTCCTGGCAGTGTTTCTGACTGCTTCTAGTTTACCCTTTGCCGAGACGGATCATGGTGTTTCTTTTTTAATAAGGTCGTGGTCTCCGGGGGCCCGGGACAACCCCCTTAACGACCTGCGCTACATCTGGGGAGGCTTCTCCTACCTGCAGGACATGATGGACCACGGCATCATCCGGGCGCACACCCCCAGCACGCAGCCGCTTGGGGTGTTCGCGCAGCAGATGCCCTACCCGTGCTACGTGGATGACGGGTGAGTACAGAGCCGCTATCTGACAGCCGTGTGATTAGCGCCAGAGGAAGGAGGCATTACAGCAATAAAACAGTGCGCTCTCCGGGGAGGTGCCACTCACCGCCGCCACGTACATGAGTTATAGTCTGATCAGTCACTTAGGCCTTCAGATTTCCCCGCGGAAACTTCCTCTTATTTGTCTGGCGTACATTTCTTTAATATCCGATCGCAGAGGAGGGGCAGAGGTAGAGGACTGCCGTAATAATGTCACTGTAATAAAAATGTAACAGGAGAGTGGAATCATTAAGGGTCAGCGAGGGGAAAGGAATGAAGGAGATACTATTGATTTGAGTCAAACCACAGGAAATTCCTGAATAGTTGATGGATGCTGAATTATTTACGCAACCACGGCGAGTCCCTAGCTTCCTCCCGTTTCTGCGGCATTTTATCCTAGACAAAAGGAGAGCAAGATTCTCCTCTGATATCATGTTGGACACACACACACACACACACACACACACACACACACACACACACACACACACACACACACACACACACACACACACACACACACACACACACACACACACACACACACACACACACACACACACACACACACACACACACACACACACACACACACACACACACACACACACACAACGGCGTATCACTCTTAATCTTCCTCAGATTTCCTCAGTGTGTGGAAATGACTCCCATCCACACACAACATTATGATCTCCATTAATAAAGGGGAAAGCCCATCCAGAGGAAAAGATAATTACCAAGGAGATGTAAGTCCGACAACACAACACGCCCCTTCCAGAAGACACTGAATATCCTCTCCCTGTGGGGGAAACGCACAATCAGAGATTAGAGAGAGCTCATTTAAAAATCTGATTTGCTTTGGATCACACAGAATCTGCAGAACAGGTTATTTGGATAAACATATTCTACAGACACATGACTTCAGATTGAAGATGCATTTGAACCGATGTGAATTGAATATTAATATTGATTTAATTCACATCTACGGCGCACTTTCTGTCGGGTATATATTTCCATTGCTGCTTAAAGATGTAATAGTATGCACTTCATGCTTCAGCTGCGTTTTAAACGTTGTTAAATGCACATATTTCATCGTGTGCACTTGGTTTGGCATGCATGGTAGGAGGATAGTTTCAGAAGTACTAATTGAAGGATGTTACAATAAATATTGCACCCAGTGGAGGTGTTTAAATCTGAGCAGTTTTGGCACTTTGTATTACCCAAAGCAATGAATCCTTCCATCTTGAAGTCAGGGAGTACTCTCTCCCACATTGTATCAGCTGCGTCGTCAGGTGCAGCTCATTGTCGCCATTAAATCCGCTTATTTGCCTCGTCTTCCTAACACAAAGGATTCATTACTACAGAAGATAAATTGGAGTTGCGGCCGCGACACCATTGGGTCTTCCTCCTGCAAAGCGGTTTGGGCATTTCTATTAATGATTAACACTTTAAAATGGCTATTTCATTCATAAATAATACACAGAGCGGAATCACATAAAGGAAAGATGCATGATGGGAAAACCTCTGTGGTGATTATTTTACACTTAAAGAGGCCATATTCTGCGTTTTGTGGTTTTCCCTTTCATGTAGTGCGTTATTTAGGTTTGTGTGCATGTTAATGGTCTTCTCCACCCCCCACCCCTATCATTTGAACATTATATCATGGAGACGTGTCAGAATAGAGGCTCTAAATACTTATATGAACCTGAGCATGACAAGAACATGTCCCCTTGAAGAAGGAATAGAGATTGTGCTTCAGGTATAACTTGACCATAGCATCAAGTTACTTTATTAGTTTAAAATGCTCTTACCATCTGAAAAATGTGAGAAATATCATACATGCAAACACTCTTAATAGAAGAGTTGGACACATGAAAATGTGGTTGCAGTCACAGTTCTTGGCAAAAGGAAGTTTATTCATTTTGGACACGGCAGGTCGTTTTTCGACAGTTGTTGAAATATTTAGCACTTAGCTCAGAAAACTGTTATTAGTTTGCCATCCTTTATCATCTCACAGAAACAATATTTCCTCCTCTCTGATAAACTTTGAGGCCGTACTATCTGCTCTGACCTGGACGCTCGTCATCACGCCCGCCTCTGAGATGATTTCCTCTTTTGTGCGTTGCTCATTTCCTCCTCTCTGCTCCCGATGAGCTTCGAACAATCTGAGCTTCTTCAACACCACTGACCCTGCTGGCATTTCCAGCCGCAGATAACCAAGCGGTGTTGGCGTCCTCGGTCTTCATACTCACATTGAACACAGAGATGATAATGATGGGGGGGATAAAGCTTGACCCCTGCAAGGCCGACAGCTCATAAACGGCTCTTTATCAGCGGCCCCCTGCCCACGGAGGATGAATCAGAGCATCTCTTGTTAGGAACTGATGCTGTGCTGCACATCAGACGCTTGGTGTGAGATCTGAGGCTGCTTTCAGAGAGACGCGATGCAGGCTGCGGTGGGCGTGAGCTCGGTTCAGGATGAGAGAGGGGATATGGTAATTAACCTCATGTGTGCACTGCTTGCACTCAGAGTGGGTGACATGTTGGATAATATTTGGGACATCTGAAGCTCATAACAAGATAAAATCAGCTGTTTCATGCCTTGGGCTCGGTGCAGAAGTGATGCACAGGAGGGACAATGTTCCTGGAAAAAAGGCGTATCATCTACTGCAAATACAGCTTTATAAAGAGTGTTTATCCATGCTGATATTAGAGAATAATAGGGATATACATGTTTATTTGGATGCTTAATGGTCACAATGCTGGCGATGTGTAGCCTATCAACAGGTTGATCACAAAAGCCGGACGTTTATCTTTGTTCATTTATCCGTTTAATCAATAAGCCCATAAAGCTCTGGTGGATCTATGATTAAATGTCGAATAATTTTTCACTAGAAAATGTGGATAAAGATATTTAAATATTTTCTCAGTTTGTGCTACACTTGATGCCTTCATGTTTTTTTTAACTTGATCTGATATTGCAGTCATCATTATTTTAATTTATATTCTTTTTGTAAGGCTGATTTTCAATGTGTATTTAGCTCTTTCTCCAAACGTTGCCTCCCTTTTATAAATATGAGGTTTCAAACAACAAAGGACTCTTTATCCCTTAACCACATGTTCCTTGAGCAATCATTTCTAGCAGCATATTGAATAATAAAGTCTGCTCCCTTCAATGAGTGCCCGTCTGCAGCCAGCAGGTATTTTTGGTATATCTGCTCAGAATGAGATTTCTTTAGAATAGCCCTCCGTCCTGTGGGAGTCTGCTCTCTCCTCTCTCGTCTTTATTTCCTGAGAATCAGTCCTCCAGCGTCCCTAAATGTAGGTCAGGCTGTTGATGTTAACACAGACCTGCAGGGACTTTTATTACTTAAGCACCTCGATCGATCAGCGATGTATAATTCAGGAGCATCTGGTGGCAAGGTTGTCAGTGTCAGACACGCCGTGCATCACTGATCCCCCACCACCTATCGTCTGTCAGCTGTTACATAGATGTTATCCAGATAAACCCTTAATTAGCATTCAACCTGATGCTTTCACAACTAGAGGTGCTAATGTAGCTTTATTTGCCAAATCATATTGATTTCAAGTTTCCAGACTCAGAGGCACTTTTCTTCTGCTTCTAATCTCGTAACAGATTGTGGTTTTAGTCGCTCTGGGTCTGGAAACTCTGTGCCATCCTGCAGCTAATCAAGTCCTCGTTTGAAAGTGATCCATCCCTCGAGGGCCGGGGAAGTGTCCTCCAAAAAGAGTCTGTCTTTCTCTCTTTGAAATGAACTTCCTCTGGCTTTCACTGGAACTCACTTCATCTCTTTGGTGTGTTTGCAGTTACTGACAAACCTCTCCATGCAAAACATTATTTTCCTAATACATCATATCATTATGAGTGAATTGGCTTCCAGAAATATTGTCCACGAGAATAAAAGCAGTCACAGTAGGAGACTACAAAGATCAATTTGAAAAGGAAACGTATTTGAAAATAAATGAGGGCAAGGCAAGTTTATTTATATAGCACCTTTCAACACAAGGCAATTCAAAGGGCAAATTAAATGACTGATTCAAAATGGCCGTCTCTTACGTTGGCCCAAAACACAAATGTGCCATCAGACATGGAAATTAAGAAACATCTGCACAAACTTGACGAAACATGCACAGCGTTTACTAAAAGCTTGCATTAGCAAAACACTGCAAACACAACGGAAACCAGGGGTCACTAAAAAGGGACGCACACAGCTGGGACCGGAGTGCTTGTGGAGATTCTGTGATAATAAAGTTTGCTAACTGTCACAGTTCTTTTAATGTGATCGCATGATTCCTTCCCGTATTATTGCAGATCTGCTGTAAGCTAGCTCGCTACAAACTAACCTAGTCAAATATACTGCCGAAACCAATACAACTATGAGAACAGTGACAGTTGGCCAACTTTATAATCCCTTCTAGTGTTGCTTGTTTTCATTTTGTCTTTATGTTTCGTCATGTTGGTGAAGAAGTTTCTCCTTTTGCATGTTTTTTGGTCGCATTTGTGTTTTTGAATTTTTTATTAAACTGCAGCGTTTTTCCTGATGGAAATGTTTGGGGCCGCTGTAGCACATTTGCACCTCTTGGCCACCGTAGACTTCTGCAAAAAGAAAACAAATCTGCAAGTTTAAGAGCAATTAAAGGGGATACGATGCAATAAGGCCTTAGCCATAATTAAAAGAGAAAGTAGTTTCATGAACGTGCTAGATGTTAAATAGCATTTACTTTGTGTCTCTGTGTGTGTGAGAGCTTTGCCTGCATTACACAGTCAGTATTTATGGAATGCGAGCACAGTGAGATGTAAAAATCTATACTTTGTCAAAATCTATTTGGTGTCTCTCCTTCACTGTCTAATAAAGCACAGGAAGCACTTTGTTATATTGCCTGGGGAGAAGATATTGACATGGCATTTTGGTGGCATTATGAATCTGGTTTAATATCGCCTCATTGTGTAGTAACAGCCTCCGATCATACATCACGTCTGGCAGCGCTGCAGCACTAAATGTTTGATTGAGCTGATGCACCAGGTTTATGAAGGTTAGCTCAGCGTGACGATAAAAACGCCTCGCAGGCAGCGAGTCCGCGGATACGACTCCATCGTCTCCATCGTCCCTCACGCTGAAAACATTAGAAAATGATTCTCTCTTCCCAAACCTGAGCACGTACAGGGTAATATTGCAAAAGACAACCTTTAAAATAAAGTAAGCGTGTAAAAAGCTGATTCTCTTTTTGTTTAGGGCCATTATCTTTATTATCAATTCATCTTTATTTCCCCTCAAATGTTGTAAAATAGTAAAAAGCTCATCAAACTCACCGTTAGCCCAAGGTGATGCGGCAATGTCTCTGTGCTGTTGATAGTTTTCAGCATTTACGTTCATCTGAGACATGAATATGAAACTGGCATTCTGGTATGGCCTGTATAAATGGCGGCCATCTTTGACCAAACGTGTCTGATTCCAGCTGTAACTTTGTTTATCTATGAAATTAACATGTTTGACCACATCTGAAAATATGAGCTTTTTGTCTTACTTTCTCACGCCAAGTACTTCCAAACTTAAAAAATAGACACAGAGGCATTTCAGGACCTCGTATTGCCTTGTTGCTTCACCTCTCTGCTGCTCTGTCCAGCTTCATCCAGAACATCGGAGGCATCCTTCCCATGTTCCTGGTGCTGGCCTTCATGTACACCGTGTGCATGATCATCAAAGACCTGGTGCTGGAGAAGGAGCTCCGCCTGAAGGAGGTGCTGCGCGCCGTGGGCATTCAGAACGGCGCCCTGTGGGCCGCTACGTTCTTCGAGAACATGGTTCTGCTCACGGTGCCATGTGCTCTCATAAGCATCATGGTGAAGGTCAGTGGAGAGGAGACACTCAGCGCAGATGCCCAAACACAAAGCATGCAGTGTCAATATAATGCTCAAAGCTAGCCACTTGTTTTGCACTAAAGGTCTACTATTTCATTGACTTTTGAAGAAGTATAACATCTTTATAATGCATAAAATCATTTTTGATTTAAAGTGGACACAACAGGTGAATAAATAAATAAATAAAATGTAACGAATAGATATCACAAGTTCAGTATTTACATTAACTTATGTTATTTTAAATATGCAAATATATCATTATCTAACGCTAACTTTAGTCAAACAAATAGACAAAGTTAGTCAAATGAACTCCTAAATATGGATTTAGGATGTTTTTGTTTCCTCTAAGATACATGCAACCAATACTTTTTTGTCACATTTGACCCTTTGACAAAGTATAGCCACTTATTTTTCATAAATGTCCATTTTGGAGAGTTATAACACCAACAAAGCTGCATCGTTGTGTATTGAAACGTTGAATTTGAGAGGGACACTACAGGGAGCAATAGTGAAACTTCCCCTTTTGATAGTTTACATTTAAGACATTTTTTATTTATGAAATGTTTTGTTAAAATATGCACAACGAGGCATTATGCTATGCTAAATGTTGGTACATTCAGGAGAAGAACTCTACAGAAAGTCAGAGTTTTTATTTCCTGTAGTCTGAGAAGCAGGGAAATATAAATCTGCTGCTCTGGACAGAGGATTGTTCATGCTTTGTGTTTTGGTATTTTTCGCTGTTATTAATCATTACCAATTAATGAGCACAGAATCAAATCATTACCCTTAATTCTTCAAATCAGCCTCTTCAGTGTAATTAATTGAGCATGGAAGCAACACTGCAATTAAGTCAAATTAATATCACTGCTCCGTTTTTGCCCTTTTATTTCCTCTAATTGCATCACTTCTTCTTCTTTGGTGCTTCATATCATTGGAGGACTGAATGACATGAAAATGCATTTTCTCCCGCTCTAGTTTTGCACCTTTTACATCCCGTATGTTCATAACTTGAATATACACGGCTCTGATTTGTGAGAAAAAGTAGGATGAATGTACTCCTGGGTTATGTGTCAGAGATATAGCCAAACATGATTAATATTTCCTTTTCCCGTGCTGACTAAAAGAAAAGTCTGATAGTAGATATATTTCTGCAGCCTTTGAGCTCATGCATAATATACGCACGCAGGCCGAACAGTGAAGAACAATAGTGAAGACGAGCAAGGCTATCTGAGCTTCATCACGCTCATGATGCATAATACAGTCGAGCGCGATCATCTAATGCTCCTAACATCATCCATCACTGCACAAACAAATCCCAGAAAATGTGACCAACATTAAGTCTTATTACTTGAACACGTTGTAGTTGTTTCAAGTTGCATGCAGTATTATTATTATTATTATTATTATTGCAGCACATCCTTCAGCTCCTTGTTCTGAAGTGTTGTAAACGACATACAAAGGATTGTTATTCTCGATCGGCCTAATCAATTTTTTGCAGTTTAATTAGGAAATGCGGCTGGCAAATAAAATGATATTTGAACAGCTGGGTGAAATGTAATTTCCCATCAGCATGATGTGTTTGGAGCCATCAGCCGTTTGTAAACATTAACAACAATAAATTGAGTTAGAGCAGAGCCTTGGAGGATGTGTATTCAGATCACAGGCCCGCTCTAAGTGATCATTTCACAGCCATTCTCATCGCATTAATAATAATAGCAAATCAAAAGGCAATTATCATAAAGCTGTATCTGGATTAGGTGTGACAACAAACGCTTCTGTCACCGACACCTGATCCCGTGCACTCGGTCTCTTCTGTTATAGCAGCGACTACCTTCTATTGTTCTGGAATCTGTTTTTATTAATAACCAACAGATCACTGAGGATCAACAACACACACACACACACACACACACACACACACACACACACACACACACACACACACACACACACACACACACACACACACACACACACACACACACACACACACACACACACACACACACACACACACACACACACACACACACACACACACACACACACACACACACACACACACACGCTGCAGGGTGTCCTTGTTTTGACACATCCTCCAAATGCTTTGAAACTCATTAAAATGTGATGAATTAGTCGTGCACAACAACAGAGACCTCCTCTGTGTTATTGACGTGTCATCAATCACTCATGCACACAGGACTAAAACTAATTAATGCAATTAGACGCTATTGATCCAGAAATGTGAGGCTGCTAGAACATTACATTTACTTTCAAACTTAACATCCCATTCCTCTCCCACACACTCCTCCCCCCCCCCCCCATCTTCTGAGTCAAGTGCAGACACACTTCAAACAACATGCCTACATATATTCAGAAGTTGTATTTGTACATTTTAAGCTTTTCTTTTTATCAGCACTGTGGTGAGAAGTGTGTCAGTTTCCTCCTGGTGCGCCTAACACCATGTGTGTCTGAATGCCTCTCCTCTGGACAAGGAAATCAGCAGGAGGATCATGGAGATGTGACTGCACGCAGAGATCATTACAATCAGGAAGCTTATGGATGTGATGAGATCTCAGCCAGGAGATGCAGTCTGCACAGCGAAGCCTCTCTGTGACAGCAGTGATAATCAATGTGATCTATATGAACATACAGTAGGATCAAATGAGCATGTAGATCAAATGTGGCTTTACACAGCGGTCAGGCATATTTCAGTGTCTTTTTTGTATAACTTTTAAAATAAGAAACAGCCACAGGAGAAAAAACATAACGCAAGTGCAGGTGCTGTTAAAGGAGAGATGAAAACAAAACCTGGAGACAAAATGAATAAATAATGAACACAAATTATATATGATTATATTATATTATTATTAAAATATAACGATTAAGACACATAACTTTAGATGTAATCTTCAAGCTGGCAGAAAACAAATATGCATCAGCAGCCATACTCCAGACCCAGGTTTATGTTGCTTCTGATGTGCAATGCCTACATGTACCAGGATGCATTGCAAACCTAACAAGTCTAGGAGTTACAGCAGGCTAATATATAAACTACAGATGAGCCGCTAACATTAACAAACTATGTAAGGTAATGAAGAGTTAACGGTATTGCACATGAGCATTGGTGTTCCACGAGTCATCCTCCAGACCCCCGTTATAAGCTGCCCCCGGCTCCCCCCCCCCCCCAGGTTCCTGCGCTCTCTGGCCCAGTCTCTGCCTTTATACATGACGTTAGCCTGGATCTACTCAGTGGCCATGATCGTGAAGGGCATCGTGGCGGAGAAGGAGGCGCGTCTGAAGGAGACGGTGAGGATCATGGGTCTGCGGGGGGCCATCTACTGGCTGAGCTGGGCGGTGTCCAGCCTGCTGCCGCTGGCCCTCAGCGCCGTGCTCCTCGCTCTCGTCCTGAAGGTGACATGATTTACCATCGATTAGAGGAGGACCCAGCTCTACTTCTGCAGAGACTTCAGTCTGACATTATGTTAATGAGGAAAACACGTTTAAATCACGAGGTTTTAATCATAATTGCATCAAAAAGCATAATTTTCCAAACTGGGACTCTCCAGATTTAAACTCAGTAAAAATAGAGCAGGGTCCTCCTTCAAACTGGCACAGTAACAGAGTTTCATGTTGGGTTGTTTCACACAAAATCCTATTTGAACCCTTTTAAAACTCTTTTACTCTGCCTCCTCCTCAAATAATCATCTTTAATCACACTTTCTGAATCTGTTTCCTCCAATCTCCTCGACTAAAACTCCAAAGTGTTTGCTTCAGTGTCATGTGTCTGCTTCCTGTGTCAGTACGGTAAGGTTCTGCAGTACAGCGACCCCTCGGTGATCTTCGTCTTCCTGCTGGTGTTCTGCCTGGCCACCGTCACGCAGTGCTTCTTCATCAGCGTCTTCTTCTCCAAGGCTAACCTCGCTGCGGCGTGCGGCGGCCTCATCTACTTCGTCCTCTACCTTCCGCACGTCCTCTGCTACGCCTGGAGGGACGTCATGGGCTTCCCGGTCAAGGTGGCGGTGGTGAGTCTGTTTTAATATCTCCTCCTGCTGTTGTCATACTCACCGTACTCTGAGGTATGTTACCAGCCACGATAATCACACTTTGGCAATCAAAGCTCCTTTTCCATTTACTCTACTGTATATCCAAACAAACTTGAGTTTGATTATTAAAGATAAGATGACCATGCACACATGTTTGGCATTGTCCACATGTGAAGCCTTTTTGGAAAGGAGTAGGCCATTTCAACCTTAGATATTCCACCTAAAAACGTTTTGTGCATAAATAATAATAAAATAAATGCATGCACTTTTCCAAAGTAACTTTTGCTCTTCCTATTAACAAAATAAACACTATCTGCTCTATGGAGAAATGAACTTGTACTCTTAGATTCCAAGAAGATAAATGGGATAGATCTTTGGAAAATGTAACTGTTATACATGGTTAAGATCTTTTTTTGTTATTTAATTTAATTAATTAATTAAAATGGTTCTTTTATGTTGACCAATTGTGCTGTATTGTTCCAGTATCAAATAAAACATGAAAGAAAAAAATATATACAAATGAAAATAAATAAATGAATACATTTCCACACAAATAAGTAAATAAATAAATGTACAAATAATGAAATGAACACGTACAATGATTCTTACATATATTAATGTCTTATATATATATTTTTTAATTTTATAATCTTCGCTGATTGTGCTCTGTTGTCCCAATAAAAAAGAAAACAGATTAGATAAACATTTATTTAAGTGGCAGGGAAATGCAAAATGTAAATGCAAAAGTATGAATTGTTTTCAAATGTAAAGATATTTGTAATTATGAAAATACAACTACTACTTTGGACGTGTGCAAAGTCCAAAGTAACTCCATCAGGTGCCGGTTGATAACGTTTCTCATGTTGAAAGGAAGTTCATCTACTCAATTATTTCTTTATAGATTTGCCCTCATCCTCTCTGCATAACTCTGATAATGAGTTGTATCTGCAAGATGGATTTAGAGTTTCTGTGAACTTTAAACATTCAATCATTTAGGAATACATATTCATCCTGTCACTCTGCATTGCTTCCCAATTGTCTTGACATATTTTGCCACAAACCTGCAGAACTTTATTAAAACTGGACGCACATAAAGAAGGGAGTAGACGGACACAGCGAGGAAGATTCTCCACCCTCTTCTGTCTCATCAAGATAAATGCTGCACCATTGCTCAACCTTCAGTGTAGCCTTTCTGCGACCTTTATGGAGCTGCTGCTATCATTTGTCCTCACGCTGTCCTTTCTGCACACAAAGACACAGCATCCTGAATCTTCATCGCTGTGTATCGTCCCAAAACTTCATCCGGTTATCTTCTATTTTTTTGTCCTTTCAACAATACGATATCAACTCGAGGAGAAGCAAACACTGTCGTGCTTTTATCTATCAAAGTGCATGTCGTCTAGGGCCGTCTGAATGTTTGTATTATATTATTTATTAATAAAATGTCCATTACCATTCAGCTGTATCCACAGAGTGCATACAAATTATTATTTTTTAAATGTATGAAATTGAATTAAATAATTAAATGCATGCCTGAATAAATAGATGAAAATAATGAAAAATATTCATATTGTCTGAAAGGACTAAAAACGAAATTTCGATTACCGTAGATTAAATATCTTTAAAAATACATTGTGATATATCATTTTAAGGCTATATAATTGAGGCTTCCTAATAGACACACTTTCAAATGTATTGTACTTTGTTAAATCTGCTTCAAACCGACATCCAATAGAAATAACTTTGACCGTAAACATTATTTCACTCTTTCCAGTCCATTTCCTTTTGCACTCTGCATGCAGGTGATGTATGCATTTTAAATATAAAGGAGTGCAAACCTTTTTAAATCTCCACACTCCCCCGGCGCTTACATCTCCCTCTGCCTCTGCACAGTGAGATGGATCTCCCTCTGCTCCTCTAATTAGCATGAGCAATGTTCCTCTGACCAAACCACTATCCAGTTCATCCTCACACTTCATCACTGGTGTGTGTGTGTGTGTGTGTGTGTGTGTGTGTGTGTGTGTGTGTGTGTGTGTGTGTGTGTGTGTGTGTGTGTGTGTGTGTGTGTGTGTGTGTGTGTGTGTGTGTGTGTGTGTGTGTGTGTGTGTGTGTGTGTGTGTGTGTGTGTGTGTGTGTGTGTGTGTGTGTGTCCAGAGCTGGGATGAAACCCCATCGTGCCGAGGCATACAAATTGTCCCCCACATTGTCCTTGATAATGAAGTCTATAATTTCTAAAGATCACCTGGATTTACGAGAAGAGCTTCTGAGAGCAGCTGCAGGCAGGAATCACATCCTAGCACTCTCTACTGTACTTTTTAAATCTTTTTTTACCTGCACTTCTGAACGAGGTGGAAACAAGAGAGCGCCTCGAGCTATTCTGTTTTCTGGAAATATTTTCAATTAATCTTTCTGTCCTGGAAAAATCCCGAGGAAAATGCTAATTCCTGCAAAATCATTTGATATTGCTCAGGTCATAATTGATTCCTGCTTTTTCAACATCTGGACGCTCACTTCAGAATATGGGTTTTGTTAAAACATGTCTAATAATGCACTCTTATTTAGGAAACTCTCAATAGACCAACATAAGTACATTACTATTACCTACTGTGCTAATCACAATGCACTGCTCATTATTCTCTCAGTATATTACAAATAATTGCCAATATTCTGGTGTGTGTGATTATTTTCAACTCTTCTAATATAATTTGTAATATAGAATAAACTGAGACAATTAACTATATTTATTTTTGCAAGAAACACAAAGGGAATTCAATACAACAAGGCTCTCAATGTCTATGTTGTCCGTAAAGCAGATTGGGATGAATAGAGTACATCTTATCTTATCTTTAAAAAGGACCTACATAAATATACCAGTTTACTCATCGCAATGCAATGCTGATCTTTCTCTCAGTAGTTATGAGTATCAAAATAATATTCTGCCAATGAACTAACCGATTCCCAGTGTTGTTAAACTTTCCAGACTTTCTGTTCCGACATGTTCCTGCAGGAATAAAAACTCTTCCAGTTTATCAAATCAATCTTCGTCACACAGGAGCTGGTTGTGCTCCTGTCCGTCATGCAGCTGTCAGAGACGACTTTCTGCACAGCGCCTCTGATCGCTCTTCCTCTAACGATGCTCTGTGGCTGCAGCCAGATGAATCTGACATGTGTTCATGTGAGGCGCTTATTTGGTCCGCCTCCACCTCCTCTCGGAGCTATATAAGTGGCTGCTGTGGTTTTGTCAGCCATTCATTCCGAGGTCAAGGATAGTTGCCCTGCTGTCACCTCGTTCTCTGACTGTCTGCTGATTGCTTGTCAGAGGAAACAGGAAGCTGGAGGTCTGTGTCTCTGCAGCAGGTCGCTCCTCTTCCTCAGCCTGGTTGTGTAACACCGGGCAGGCAGTCTCCGTGATTGTTGCAGCTTCACAAACGCTGTGAGCAAATGAGGCGTGATGAAACAGCTGGCGGTGCGGAGTGATAGGCCCGCGGCAGATGATGTCTCATGGGCAAAAGCATCATTTGCAATTTCCCTCTGTACTGTATGAGAGCACAGACAAATCTCAGTTTGCAGCTCAGTCTCCATCTTTGTTCTGAAATGAAGTCCTGAGAGATGTTCACAAAGCCGGCGCAGCAATTACAGCAGCTGAGCTTCCTTCTGTCTGCCGCTGCCGATCAGCTGAGCGTGACCTCGATGCTCAGATTAAGTCATCACCTGAATCACTGAATGCTATGTCCTCTGAGTCGTTGCTTTGGAATGACGTTTCTCCTTTACTGCCGATAATTAGACGAGCAGATGGACACTATTTTCGTGTCAGGATGTAAAATATGGAGCTGGTTAGCTTAGCGGTCTGAAAAAGCTAAAATCCCAATGTTACCTCTAGGCTGGGCTCTGGTTTAAGACAGAGGGTGAAAAGGATGCTGCAGCACAGGCGCCATAAAACAAATAAAGAGCTTTGTGAACATTAAAGCTTGGAAACATGTCACAGTAGAGACTCAAAATACTTATATTAAACCTGAATATATGCAGAATTTGTGCTATTCCTTACTAATGAATACTGTTAGGGAGATAAAAGAAAGTTTAAATCATAATAATAATTTTGTTTACGTGATATATAAGATTTCAAAGATTACAAGGAGGTCAAATAGTCGAGAATACAAAAAAATGAATCATAGTAATCTAAAAATACTCAACAGATGACCCCCTCGGTAGAAAGTACAAAATAAATAAGACAATAACAAATTAAATAATAATAATAATACCATTTAATAAAAATAAAGATTTAGAATCTTAGGTACATTAAATATATTTAAAAGATGCCGGTAGTCCCCATGCTTGGTTAAAGTCATGCACGCATTAACTCCTCCTCGCACTCTTTCCGATCCACCATGCTCTTGTCAATCCTCCAGAGTCTGCTGTCCTGCGTGGCGTTCGGGTACGGCTGCGAGAACTTTGCGAAGTACGAGGTGCAAGGCATCGGGATCCAGTGGTCCAACATCCTCCAGAGCCCGGAGGAGGGCGACAGCTACACCTTCATCGTCTCCATCATCATGATGCTGTTCGACGCCGTCTTTTACTGGCTGCTCACCTGGTACATCGAGAACGTCTTCCCAGGTATGCACTGTTATTAAAGCTGATTCATTTGACACCTAATGATTCTCTTAGAAACTCAGTTAATGTACAGAGTAGAGATATAGGATTTATAATATATGTGAGTTTTGCATTGGCTACATATGGATATACACATATACACAAATTGGTCATCCTGTCATTAAGAATATGTATGTTATTGCACAAAAACATGAATGAGATCAAAATTCAATATTGATGCAGTCATGCAAACAGACTTAATGCTTTATAACGGAGAGACAGGATGTGTAGGGAGGAAACATGAACTGTAATTCATGTTTCTGAAGTAAAATGTGAATATCACCTGATCCCAGGTCAGTATGGGATCCCGAAGCCGTGGTACTTCCCCGTCACGGCGTCGTACTGGTGCGGGACCGCCTCTGTGACGACCGCTGCCCCCCCCTCGCTGAAGGACCCCTCCGTAAACAGCGGTAGGTAATATGTGTGTGTGTGTCTGTGAGAATGAAGTGTTAGTTTATCGCGACGGCTCGCAAAGAAACAGCAACACCTGATTTGTCACTTCAGGTGAAAATGGAGTTTGTTGCTTTGTGAGGAACAGCGGTGTGCAACTCGTGAAAAAAAAATATTTCCAATTAACATTCAGAGGATCGAGTGAGGTGTCTTCAAATGTTACACTTTTAAAGGAATACAGAGTGTTCTAAATAAATAATTGTATTTTTAAGTTCATTTAAATGTGTCACTCTCAATATATCATTTTCTGTGAAGATAATGAAGGCATGTTTTATAAGTGTATGCATGTTTTGTTTGCGTGTGTCTGCAGAGTATCTGGAGAAAGCACCGCCCGATATGAGAGCAGGCGTCTCAATCCGTAACCTGGTTAAAATCTACAAGACGGGGAAGAAGCTGGCGGTGGACGGCCTCAGCATGGACTTCTACGAGGATCAGATCACGTCTTTCCTCGGACACAACGGAGCCGGGAAAACCACCACCATGTGAGTCACCTGTTGCTCCTCTAGAAGGTTGTGCTCTGCATGTTTGAAAGAAATTGGGATAATAGGTTGGAAGAGTTTTAGGATGACAGGGGGTTAAAACACAAACTGTAGGTAAGACTAAGAAGCAGAGAAGAAAAAGCTCTGAGCGAATTTAACCAAACATAACAGAGCACTGAAAACATGCACATGCTACTATCTTATTCTTTTTAAAGTTACATAAGCAAGAAGCATGCAAAAAAAGAAGAAAATAGTTTATTTATGCTATTAGCTATTCACTTTATTCCATGTGAAATCAATTTGGAGAGACTAAAAACATAATCTTTTATTCATAATTGTATTATTTTAACGAAATCAAATAATGCAAGTCTCGAGGACTGGCCAAAAAAGTTTGAAATAGTTGTAGGTATATTGAGTTCCTTTCCAGCTCTATAATTACAAAGGAGTTATGCATCATCTCTAAGCTTAATAATAATCAGAGTGTGTGTGTTTGTGTGTGTGTGTTTCCTCTGCAGGTCCATCCTGACCGGCCTGTTCCCTCCTACATCGGGAACGGCTCTGATCAACGGATACGACATCCTGTCTGACATGGACTCCATCAGGAAGTATCTGGGAATGTGTCCGCAGCACAACGTCTTGTTCAATGAGTGAGGGAAATCTGCAAGTTTAAACACTGCTATAACCATGCTTTCATTTCAGTGTTTTTAAAAGAAGAGATCATTAGAGTGCATAATGAGGTCTCATGATCATTATCCCTTTCTCTTTTCTCCTAAAAATCATATTTCTCCTGATGGCATCGTTCCCAACTCGTACATTCCACCTTTAGCGTCCCTTCGGTTTCTTTCTCTGCACAAACTGATTACCTGCAAGTCCTACATCATAATTACGTCTGAATACCTGCAGATTACTTTCATTAATATGAATCCCTGACAGTCAACGCATCTCTATTAAACAGGGTTAAAATGCATGCACACAGACAGATAGACATCACGACATATTTTGATCCCACTTTTCTCTATCAGTTCCAAACGTGCACTTGAGAAAAAGCAGCCTCATCATCTTGCAGGATTGCATTAATGTGACAGTTCTGGACACTTCAAACACTTTTACATAAATATGTGGCAGGAAGATGGCCTCTTTTATTGCTATTGATGTTCATTTCTCTTCCCAGCCTGACAGTGGAGGAGCATATCTACTTCTACGCCCGTCTGAAGGGACTCAGCCGCCAGGAGGTGCAGACGGAGATGGAGCAGATGATTGAGGACGTTGGTTTACTGCACAAGAGGAAGGATCTGGCTAAGAACCTGTCAGGTGTGTGTCTGGTGAAGTTATGCTGTGATGTACATTTCATTCTAGATGTGTTTTGTGCTCGGTGCATTCATTTATTCCCCCTGGCTGGGAGGGAATATCATCTTCAGATTACCCTTTGCTGCAAGGTGAAGCTGCACCGCACACACACACACACACACACACCGCCCCTGTGTGTCACAGGTTGTGTAATTCATTGTCTGGGGGACATGAGCTTGACAAACTGTCCTCGGTCACGGGTTACTTGTGAGCAAAATCACTGAAAATGACTCTGAAGGCTGATGCATGCCGACATTTCCACTACATTAGCTCTGCAGCAGATGCATTTGGACTGGAGTAACCCGAGGAAGGTGTGTCTACTCCTCTGACATCAATCTTCTTGCAAGAGAGAAAAAAACCGATCATCCTGACACATTTAGTATATAATCAGTTCCCATATTGTGTCATAAAAACACAGGAAATACTTTATTCTTTAAGACATAATACATGATGGAGGTTGTTCTGTTGCAGGCGGGATGCAGAGGAAGCTGTCTGTGGCGATAGCGTTTGTCGGCGGCTCAAAAATCGTCATCCTGGATGAACCCACAGCGGGTGTGGACCCCTACGCCCGCAGGGGGATCTGGGACCTGCTGCTCAAATACAAACAAGGTGAGGAAGAACCAACGCTCTGCCGGGTTCAAGTGCGTCCTTACAAATACTTCAAACATGTTATTTTTTTTACTTCTAATGGCTTTGAAATATGGCATAAAATGTGTTATTCTTGAGGGACTGACTTGTTGGTCAGTAAAACGTTCTTATTTTATTCTAAGTGGCATTAAAAAAAGGTCTTGAATCTTACTTGTCTTGAGCTTTGTCTCAGGACAAGTAAGCTTTAAGTGTCAGCTTTAAGTGTTGCTATCATTTGTATGTGTTTTGGTACTTTACTTGAGGACATAACATAAATATACGTTAACTTACTAATGGTGTTGTTCACAGCCTTTAATATATGTGAATAATTTTAGTTTGTATATTTTACAGCAGGAATTAACATAAATACACACTAACCTACTGATAGTGTTCATATTAAGAGAACAAGAAAAGAAAGGAAAAACTATTATAACAATAAAATACAAACACAAAAAATAACTTTTCCAACCAGAGCTGAGCTACAGGTCAACTTTAGCGCTTGTATTGTGTATATTAACATTCGATTAGGAGAGCTAAGGGTAATGACAGTATCCGATTGACTCTGTGCCTCTCTGCAGTGGGTGGACAGAAATTGTAATTTGTCCTGGAACAGAAGTGAATCTGAGACGCTTTAATTGACATTTCTATTCAACGGAGTCTGTAATTGTGTCCTCCATCAGTCAGCGTTGTATACCGTGTGTCTCCTGCTGCAGGACACGGACATTACAGCAACATAAACTCAACACGTGTCCAAATGTTGAATGTGCATTGAGTGACATGCCGCCCTCTCTGTCATTAGCTCATCATTAACTTCCACAGATAACTCAGCGTTAATGAGAACTCCCACATCCTGTTAGTCCTCTAATTGGCACATCAATACAGAGTGTGTTTTTTATAGAACATTCTACTTATTTTGGCTCTTCACTGCTAATTAAGCGTGCAGGCTTTTCAAACAAGTGTTTTGATTGAATTGGCTTTCCCTGAGAGGCCTCTTTTATTTGAGCTGGAAAGCACCACACAAATATGACATTTTTGTCAAAAAAGCAACCAAACAAGATTTAGATTACACAGCAAACGAAACTAGATTTCTCCCACTAAATTTCTTGGAAGTGAAAAAAGAATTAGCACCTCTGAAGTAAAGTTATTTTATGATTTAATTAGTGCTTGTGTAGTGAAATTAGATAAAGCAGCTCGTCTGAAATGCAATAAACAGAATATTACAGCGGCACAGTACAGCACTGAGATTACATCTGACACATGTAGGAAGGTGATTCACTTTGAGAGGAACAGAGCTGCAAAGAAAATCATTTCAGAGCATGCAAACCTACTATAAGTTATATGTATTTAAGTGGATGCTGATTGCAGCTGTATGTATCTTCCTCCATTCAGAAGCAGTTACACCATATCTGAATCTCATCCACTGAGTAAAATACATTATTTCAGTTTATTCTTTATTATATTGAAATGGAAACAAAATAATGCGTAATGGCTGCGTGGAATTGCTCTGGTTCCCTCACACAGTCTGAAGCGTGCAGGTTAATAATAATATTCACAGTGTGAATGTGTGCCTGCATAGTGTCCCCCGCTTTAAAAAAAAAACCAAGATAATAGAAGGACGGATGATTTCCACAGACGGCAGTTAATAAAGTGTTGCACAATAATTCATCTTTCTGCAGAAGTACATAACATCTGTCCAGGTTGTAGTACCCATTCCTCTCAGGTTGATTTAGAGGCGAGGAAGCTGAATAACGGAACATTTCCAGCCGCTCTTTGCTGTGCGAGTAATTCCAATTTACCTGAACTGCTTTTGATATATCACTTTCTGCTGTAATGCACCACAAAACACGATAAATCAGAAAACCTGAGTGGGCCGTCTGCAGTCCAAACACATTTATTTTACTCCAAACTCTCAGAGGACGCTGAGCCTTTAGATTTTCCTCTTGTAAAGCATAACAAATCCTGAGGAAAATTATGTGTGAGTTTGAGCGTCCAAAATATCTCCTCACCCCCTCCCCTCATCAGCAGCGCGCTCTCCCCCTTATACTAAATAGTTCTGTGCAGCTCGGGGATTTTTTGGGGAGTTTTATTCTTGAGGACTTGCTCGGCACAGCGTAAGCAAACAATATTTAACCGAGGAGGGATTTAGCTGATCAGCTGGTGACAGGGCACAAGAGGAGGAGGAGGAGGAGGAGGAGGAGGAGGAGGAATAGATGGCCAAGCAAAATGTGGAGCTGCAGCTGAAGACGTCTGAGTGTGCCCCCGAGATATATGTGACCTGCGAGGGTTTAACCAGCTCAGCAGCCTTCTGCAATAAACACCAAATGAAGTGAAGATATAAAAGTGCATGTTCTGAGATTGGAATGCCTGATATGGGACAGAAATGTGCAAAAGATATAGAAGAGTGCGAAATGTTTACAGTGTGAAGATAAACTAGATGTGCTCACATGATGTGCATAAAAAAAGTGTCTATATGGGGAGTTCAAGTTAATCACAAATTGAAAATCTGTCTAAATGTAGCAGCGTGTACATGCACCATCATTGCTAAAGAAAAAGCTTCTGTTATTATCTTTAGTTGACCTTTGTGGCATTACTAGCCGTACACATAGAATCTAACACAGTCTGCTGAAAGTGCCTGAGTTGAATCGGGTTCCTTTTTGTCACTAAACGATGAAAAGATGAGGTTAAATGTTTTAAAAGTGACTCCATAAAAAGTGACTGCAGAGTCCCAGCCATGCTGAGACTTAATTACACTCCTTCCCTCTGTCCTGGTGTTTGGGGCACGTGATAATTAACGCTTGTTATCTGATACAGCGTGATATTAAAGGATTTGCACATCTGTGAATAGCCTCGCAGTACATGCTGTCGTTGTCATTGCAATCAGTTTTCGTCGTCTCCGAGCACAGAGGAAATAAGACTCACAGAAACGCTGGAAAGCAGGCTTAGTGTGGCCTTTATCATCATTTTAATTTTGTCCCAGATTCACACCCACACACACTCCTCTGGAGCTTTGTTGCCGCGTTGGTAAAAACAGTGTGGAATTGGCAGAGAGGAGATAAGAGAGCACCATGCAGAGACAGATTGTGATATTGGCTTGATTCGAACACTTCTGATCCCAGACACATTTTCTTGTCAAAACAAACAAAATCCAAAGAGGGAAAATGCTTCAGAGGAGCTTTTTTTAAATTTCCAATCTGTGCTTTAATTTGATTATATTTGCAATCCAGTGTTTCTCTCTCTCACTGAGTCCATTCACTGGTGTGTTTCCTCCTCAGGCCGCACCATCATCCTGTCCACACACCACATGGACGAGGCGGACATCTTGGGGGATCGCATCGCCATCATCGCCAACGGGAAGATGCGCTGCTGCGGTTCCTCGCTCTTCCTGAAGAAGTGCTTCGGCAGCGGCTACTACCTGACGCTGGTGCGAGAGGGGAGCGTCAAGATGGCGGCACAGAGAAACGGGATCATTCAGAGTCAGGTCAAGGATGTACCGACAGTAAGAAGACCACTTTTCAACACAAAAGAGACCAAATATTGGCAATTGACAAAGTGGAACCATCATTATGATATGCTTTTGTTTGTCACTAGTTTTGTCAAAGTCTACATCTACCATAACCAACAAATGTGGCACTTAAAGGAGACCTATCATGCTATATTTGAATAATATATTGTAGGGCCATACCTATACAGTGGGGCAAAAAAGTATTTAGTCAGCCACCAATTGTGCAAGTTCTCCCATTTAAAAAGACGAGAGAGGCCTGTAATTTTCATCCTAGGTATACCTCAACTATGAGAGACAGAATGAGAAAAAACTAATCCAGAAAATCACATTGTCTGATTTTTAAAGAATTTATTTGCACATTATGGTGGAAAATAAGTATTTGGTCAATAACAAAAGTTCATCTCAATACTTTGTTATATACCCTTTGTTGGCAATGACAGAGGTCAAACGTTTTCTGTAAGTCTTCACAAGGTTTTCACACACTGTTGCTGGTATTTTGGCCCATTCCTCCATGCAGATCTCCTCTAGAGCAGTGATGTTTTGGGACTGTCGCTGGGCAACACTGACTTTCAACTCCCTCCAAANGATTTGGGTGGAAGCAAAAAGAGAACAGGATGTGCCACTTCCTCCGTGGTGAGTTCCCTGGAACACCGGGGACACTATTCATGTATAAAGAGTACACAGTGCATTTTGCCATGATAGGTCACCTTAAACGGGAAGCCCACTGCTGGCGGAAAACGAGGTGTCAGCGTGAGAGTGAACCAAGTCTAAGTTGCAGGCTGCGAAAACCAAAACATGAGGCTGAAGAGGCCAAAATGCGCAAGGGAAGTCTGGTGAAATCTGAATGTGAGTTAATCGTAAATTGTGTTTCAGTTTAGGTGACCTTGTTCCGTTTCTTGTTTGTCGGTTCTTTTACTGTCGCCATCTCAGTGTGGACTTCAGGGACAGTAGTGTCACCAAGTCCTCAAAAGCCAAAGCCATGACACCATACTATTCAAGGATACAAATCGGAAGATTAGGTGGAGAGCAAACAAAGAATAGACTATAAATAAGGATTATGGACCATGGTTTAGTCTACAGGGCCCAGGATTCAAAACTTTTAATCCCTATCTGAATCAGATCAGATGGAATTTTGGAAGGTCCAAACCAAAAAACAGGATAGGATCACTTTGATGATCCGACAATCAGGCAAATCGCAATCCAGCTTTTAATCTGGAGTCAAATCGTTCAAAACGGGTAGTTCTAAACCGAAAACACAGGATTGGGACAGTTTGACAAAAAACTGGATTGATCCTGATCCACCAGAGGGGGGATTTCCAGTGGACTTACCAGAAGCAAAATGTACTAAGCATTTATTTAAAAATATGTTTCAATATAAATAAGAATGGCAAAAGTTTGTTCTGAAATAAATTACACATTTTTAGCTTTCATGCAAATCAATTTTCATTTTCCATTTTTTGGTCACGTTTGGGGTGCTATTGTTGTTTTCACAAACCAAAGTGATACATAGAATAATTTTGCTCATGAAGTATCACACAAAGATGGTCAATCACAAATGTAATTAAGGATTAAAGAAAAAATACCTCAACAAAAAAAAGTCCATCTGCATCACCTTTCAAAAGTAATTGCGGACAATAGAAGGACCCTCCAGAATTATCCGATAATCAGACAAATGGCGCAGATTTTTAAAAGGACCGCATATTTATCAAAGGTCGCATAATCCCCGCATTTTTCCACACAAAGTTGAGAAAAAAAAAAGTTGGATCGTCTTGACCTGACCGTCATCAGCTCGGCGCATCACAGAATGTTAAACAACACTAGTTAGAGATGACGTGGGAAGCTCACACCAATAGAGAAAGACGACCCAGATGACGCCACAACACAATCTAATCCATCTCAATTACCGGACGAACAAAAAGAATGGGGGAAATCTATTCTGCACCCCGTGCAAACTGTGTGTTGGAGCATAAGAGAAAATCGAACGGGACGACCCACTTGATCTCATTCCAAACATTCGAAAATGCTTCTGCTGCTGCGGACAAGAAAGCCAAACAACCTCACATTCACCGAGGCAGTAAACCTCATCAAAAACCCTTTCGCAAGGGCTACAAGAAACGAAGTGAGTACCTACCAAGATTGAAGCTGGTCAGATAACGAACGAGTAAATGAAAACGGAATGAGGCGGAGAAGTGAGTGCGTGTGTGTGCGTGTGTGTGTGTGTGTGTGTGTGTGTGGGGTGTGTGTGTGTGTGTGAGTGAGGTGTGTGTGTGTGAGTCAGGTGTGTGTGTGTGAGTGAGGTGTGTGTGTGTGAATAGTAAAGGGGTTTAGACGTTAGTGGCAGGATGTGTTGTTGTGAGAGAGAATAAATAAGACAGCCCAATATTTAAAAAAATTGTTATTCTTTTTCCCCGCATATTTAGCATATTTCCGCATATTTCGCAACTTCCCGCAATTTCACCGCATAAAATCACATAAAAACCCCGCATGTTTAATCGCATAATCAAGGAATTTAGCCCGCATAATAAAGGATTTTTGCCCGCGTTTTTCTGGAGGGTCTAAATAGATGTCTGCAATGTGGTCTTCTTGTCTTCCTTGTATTATTTTACATTTTTCGATCGGTAGGATTAAACCACTGATATTCAGGATCTAGTCATCTTGAAAAATCGTAATCTGGATCAGGCTGATCCTATCCTGAATTGCTTTGAACTCCAGGGACAAAATCTGGCCGACTTGTCTGATCCTGGATCACAAAAAATGCGATTTCAAAATCTGATCGGATCTGATTGAGATTAAAAGTTTTGAACTCCTGGGCCCAGGTGATCAGGGCAAACATCCATCCCGAGCGTAAAAGGAGCAATGGTGCGTTCAAGGGGTTTAAGGCTTGTATGAACCTCAGGGACAGTGGTAGACGGTTTCTGAAGAGCACTGACATAAATGTTGTCTCTTTCTGGCCTTGAAAGAAGAACAGAACTTGTTTATAACCTGTTGGTATCCTTCATTTTTCAACCAGTTGTTGAATGTTGCTTTTAAGAGAGGAAATTGTCAATTACAATTCCACAAATATTTGTATTGAGACTCAGATTCAATCTCAGAACCCTGTAAAGTGGTGATAGGAGGGAGGTTTAAGGGTTTACATTTTGCTTTGGAGAACAACATGAGCTTTGTCTTGTTGGCATTTAAAACAAGTGTCGCTTCACATAGGGTACGTTGAATACTGGTCAAAACAGTCTGGCAAAGAGCTTGAGGTGGTCTAGACACAGAGCAATATATCTCTGCATCAGCATTTTGCATTTGGAGAAGCCAAAATGCTCTCTGATAATCTGTCAACGTTTAATTTACATTATGCAAAGTAAAGTAAAACAATGATAACACCCAACATATTGTTCAGCTTCAGTTAAGTTTCAAAGCATTCTCAGTAATGTTTAAAGATGCATGACTTTGTTTCTGCTTCTTAAAATTGTGTTGGAATATAAAACTTTTTCACTTTGCAGCATCCTGAGGTCCTGACCGCAGACAGACTCCTGCAGGAGCAGCCAGCCAGAAACTCTCCTCCAGGAGACGCAGCAACAACAGAACTCTGGAGCAGGTGATATGTTCACAGCCCCGTGAACACGTGCCTTTAACGTTCCCATAACCCACAATTAAATCCGGCTCAAATCTAGAAGCCCAGCCAAAACTGCGTAAGCTGTTTGTGATGTCAAAGAAAACCTAATTAGATGCTCCTATGTGGATAAATTGGTGCATTCAAACATCCAATTAAGGGAGGGGGGGGAGACCTCCACCATTCACAGACTGATACTACACCAAGCTGCTTTAGCCTTGATAATTTAAAGAGCTAACACTATGCTAATTAGCAGAGTGATCCTTGATTAAAGTGTTATGGAGATCTCCGACTGCAGAGAAATGCAGCAGCGTGCCCATCAACGCGCCGTCTAGTTATTGTGTACAGGTGTTTATTGATCATTTAAAACTCCTAAGACCTGGAATAATTTAGATTTAGTTTAACACAATTTAGGTAATTTAAAGAATCAAATTATTACAACGATTTTGTTATGTTATCTTTAAAGGACTTTGGGTGCATCTTTTATCACAAAACCTACATTATAATACACTTTCTACTAAATGTAATTCATATTTGAAACAAGAAGAAGTAAATGTGTCTATTATCAAGCATATTCATTTATTCAACATTTTTATTTTGTGTATTTCTTAGGAGCCCAATTTAAATTAATCTACTAAAAAAACATCCTTATGCAGAACAGAAACATATCTTTAAACATCTATTTCCCAATATTTGAAAGATGTAATATGTTTTGTGTTACTTTAGTAGAAATTCCAGGAGGTTAACTCACATCAGGACTCTAATGAACTGCTTGCATGATGTTTGAAATACAGGCCCCAGTGTTATGTCCAGGTGAATAAGAAGCAGCACAAATAAGATTAGCTGAGGATATGTTCGAGTAAAACAATAAGGAGGAGAAGAATAAAGAAAGATTATAAACCAGATTGAAAACAGACTAGCTAAATAAGGAAGCAGAAGACATGTTGTAAAGGAGAGTGTAGGAGGAAAGAGAAGAAGAGGACACACACACACACACACACACACACACACACACACACACACACACACACACACACACACACACACACACACACACACACACACACACACACACACACACACACACACACACACACACACACACACACACACACACACACACACACACACACCTCGTCTTATCGCTCCACAAACATGCTTCTTTTTCAAAAGCCACAGAAACTCAGAAACAAACAAAACCAAAATTAAGAGCTTTCATTCACACTCGGCTTTGTGAACACTGAGTCAGTGTGGCTCTAATTATATTGGCTTCGGGCCATATTCCTCATCAGACTGACTGGAACATAGCGTGGTACATACTCTCATTCTGCACATGACAACACTGAGAGGTGGGCATGCAACATGGGGGGGGGGGGGATGGTGTAAACTAAGGAGTAATCACATCTGTTGAATGAGTTGGTATACAGGAGCAGAGATAAGACATCGCGCTGTGTTCATATTAATCTGCCTCTGTTTATATCTCGTGTTCCTACACAAGTAAAATCTAATTTGATCTCATGTGCACGAAGAAAGGCGGATGATTAAAGATGTGAAAGTTCACGCTCATGCTTGTCTTTTACACACTGAAGGGAACAGGATAAGAAGACAGACAGGAAGTAAACCCCTACAGGAAATGCAGAAGACTCCAGACACAGGAAGTAAACCCTAACAGGGACAGATAAGAAGACAGACAGGAAGTAAACCCCTACAGGAAATGCAGAAGACTCCAGACACAGGAAGTAAACACTAACGGGAACAGCAGAAGAACACAGACAGGAAGTAAACACTAACAGGAACATGGTATTGGTTGTGGCAGTTGGTTCATGGAAAATAAAATGTTAATGCACATTACCCCTTACATACATGAGAGATGAACGGTAAGCATGAATGTGCAGATATCCTCATTTCTGCTTTGCTCACTGTGTGGGGCCATACAATAATAGAATGCATGCCCCCACACACCGCGAGGATGTATTCCCTTTGACCTGAACATTCCCCCCCATGCTAAATAAATCACGATGAAGCTGCTCACTCGTTCTCCTTTTCATCTTTCCCTCCTGCCCATCCTTACATATGTCCTTGAGAAACTTTAGAAAAGAGAGCGAGAGGATCACAGCGGGAGGTGTGTGTGAAATCTTTGTTTCCATGGAGATGGCAGGCAACAGTAAGCCCGCTATCAGTTGTGAGGTATTGACTCTGTTCACTGGTGATATTTAACCTTCACAGATGAATAGGCCGTCATGCGTGCAGAGGAATTGATAAGCCGCCGCCACGTTCAGCGAATTACGATTGATGTATGTATCATTTGGAGACTGGCCCCACTGCAAATGACTCTCTCTGGACTCATCTGTCAGCATATTGAAGACTGGGATTGGCTTACTATTTGCGTGGGCGAAGAAAGAGTTTCTGCACGGTAAAATAAACACCATTATTTAAATTATTTTGCTGGTTTGAGGGAAAAAAACACAAGTGAGTGAGAGTATCTGCTGAGCTTTACAAAAGGAAGTGATGATTGTATAATGAATAATCCCAGAGCGGTTTTTATCCACTTCTGTGAGTCCTTCATTTAAATTGTCACCAACAAGTCAGCCAGACTGTTAAAGAGTGAGTTGCCATACAATTCAACTGCATTGTGATTTACACTGAGAGGGAACATACAGTATTTACAATTGTTAAAACCCTGACCAGTTTGGCTCACAAAAAAACTAAAGTCTCGCTCACTTTAAATGAACACCTTTATTAATACATAAAGAAAATGTTAACAATAACCACGGTACGTTGCAAAACCCAACAAGGTTGTTTTGTTGCCTTTCCGACCATTCTTGGAAGAAGAACTTGGTAAGTAAAAGTAGGAAAGTATACCTTAAAGTAAATACAGAACGGCCCATTTCAGAATCATATCTTTTAAATCATTTGATGATAATTACTGATGCATTAATGTGTTCTTCTCTTCAATGTTGCACTTGGTAAAGTTTGGGGTTCATTTATAAGCTGCTGGGTCGCTTGGCCCGTAATAAAACATCATGATTTATTTTGTATAGTAACTAACGCTGTAAAATGTAATGCCGTGAAAAGTACAATATTGCTTCCTGTTTGTAGTGCAGTACAATTATAAAGTAGCCTGAAATGGAAGTAAAGTACAATAAATATAGTTAGTTACTTTACACTGTTTGAAACTGGACTGTTATCTTGAAGATAAAAACTTGTAATCTTAATTGAGGATGCAGTTTAGTTTTATGGGAACACATTTTCTCAGTAAGAGACATTATTGCTACTTTATGTTATCATTTGTTTGTTTTTTGAAATCATATTGAGTGAAAGAGGGGATGATTCTTTCTCCAAAACCAGCTGTTGGCACAGAATAAATCCGGCAGCGTGTGAACACATCAGGCAGACACTTTCTCTCTGCCTGCTGCTGATTTGTCCCTTTGACTCCCAGCACCCACAGATCCATTTGAGTGTAAACGAGCTGTCCGGAGGCAGGAGACGCTCCACACAAAAGAAGAAAGGTGGCTGAATTGTGGGGTGAGCTCATGTTGAATGAAGCAGAGATTTTCTTTGTTGGGCTGAAAAATGTGTCCCTGGGAAACTCTCAGTCTGTCATGATCAGGCCAGAAAAGCTGCTCCACTCTTTGTGTGTAGAATAACTGCAGAGAGCTTCCTCTCCAGGATCATGTTACCCTGCTGTTGGCTCCGTTTAAAAATGCGATCATGTTGGACACAATCACACGGCACAATGAGGAGAAGAGCAGCTCCAGTTTTGTGTCACCGTCAGAGTTTGTTCACATTTTATTTTCCATTAACAACTTTTTCTTTTTGTTTGAATGCCATCAACTTGTCAGGGACTGTAGATGAAAATGTGCCTCTATGGATACATATGGCACATTGAAATGATAGATTTACAGAAAGTGCTCATGTTAATTAATGTGTATTGTCCCTTCTTAAATAAATAAATACAAACTGCCGGAGCCCATACTCTGTTCCTGTGAGTCTTTACTTCCTGTCAGTCTTTTACTTCCTGTTTGTCTCTGTCTGCTGTTCCCATGAGTGTTCAACTCCTGTCTGTCTTCTTATTTAGTTCTCTCTATTGTGTCTTCTTGATATATTCATATGAAAGGTATATAAATAAACTTGCCTTGCCAGACGACCACACAATATTTCAATAAATATACAATAACAAACATGTCTCATGACCTTCTGCACTACCCCACATTTCAAAAGCTGGCTTATAGCTCCCTGGTGGTGCAGTTGGTAGCAGGGAGGTGATGATCTACAGTTGCACTTTCATGTATTATTATTTATTAAAAGATTGCACTAATGCACTGCGTCTGTGAAACAGGACCTTGGTCAACCTTCCTCCCTCATAATCACACTGTGTGTCCACATCTCTTCAGCACATGAACTCACACATGCAACAGTTCAGAGGCAGAAATAAAAAGCTCTCTGTTGTACAAAGACTGACCCCTGGCAGATAAATTCATTATGCAGAAAGAAGCTGATGAACAGAGGCGGGTAAATGTTAAGTGAACAGCATGTGTGTTGCATATAAATGCTGTCCACTCGTAGCTTCTTCTTGTCCTAATTTTAAAGTTTCATTCAGGGCGCAGTGGGAGATGACTGGCAATAATTGTGGTGCATGATAATAACTCCTCAAGGTTGTTTCCATGTGTCCACTTTCTATCCTTTTACAGGATGTGGATTGGAACAAAATAAAAGAGAAAGTGATGCAAGTGAATGTAATAAGATGCAGTAAAGAGCAAATGGTCTTTATATTGATGCTTAGTATACTTAAAGTACGTGCAACACACACAATGACACAATGAAGTTGAAATCCAGTGAAGCAGCTAAGTGGCAGCAATTCATAAAATAACAAATAGAGAAGCAGCTGAATGAGAGCATGAGGGAGGCTGTTTACAATGGAGAATCAAAAAGGGAAAGACCTCGATGAACTCGCACGGCGGCACAGAGATACGAGTCAACAAATGGGAATGACAGCGCTGTCCTGAGCTGCAGGCCAGAGGAGGAAGAGGTTACACAAAGGGCACGCCGCTGTTTACTGTCTCAACAATCATCCTTAACATCATACCTGCACAGGGCACACACACTTCAGACACACACATCAGAGGGAAACGCAGCATTTAGAGGAGGAGGGGGAATAAGGACAGACAGAGTCTCTCTCCTTAATGGACGTCTCATTTGTCCTTCTCTACCAAGTTCCTCCCATATGAAAGGGGCAAATTAACCATGATTAGGGCGTAAACAATGAATAAATAAAGAGGTGAGGAAGGGGGTTAAAGTTACAAGAAAAATCTAACAATTACTTTACTGTAATCTCAGAGAATATTCAAGTGTTTCTCTTGTAAATACTTATCAAAGAATTACTGAGATTTTGAGGAGAAACAGGAACAAATTCCTAACATTTTATGAGTAAATTTCCTAATTTGATGTCTCATTTGTCCTTCCAACAAATTTGACAAAATAATTGTATACATTATTGCGAGTTTTCCTAACTGAGCCAGAATATCATTTTTCTATATCATTTTGAGCACTCTCTCAATTCCATTTTAAAAAACGTGTAAAAGTCATTTTCAGATTCATTTAATGTGATGCCATCTAAAACAAAAAATACAATAACTAAAATAGCTTCAGGCAATGTTGCTTTAGAGTAATTGAAAAGTGCATGTGTGCAGTACAGCCAGTAAATTGGATGTAATCACACCATTATAGTCTAGTGTCACATGTAGATGTGTAAGTTAAGTGTGTGTAGGAAGCGTTAATAATGCTCCCGATGTGCAGAGAGATAAAAGCTCCTCTTTATAAATCTGTAAAAACTTCTGGTGGATAAGCCATCAGCACACAGTTCATGTTTCTTTCAAAAATAAAGGTCACTACTGCCATTGTTGACTGACTTTATGAATGGGTATTTTACAAACAAGCGAAAGTAGTAGTTTAGTTACATGACACTAAAAGCAGCCTGGATCGTCCACGTTAATCCCTCATGAATGCACTAATGTTTCAGGTACTTTGCACCTTTCAAATAATCTTAAAACTAAAGTCTTACAATCCATTGAGAGATTTAAAGCTTAATATTCTGAGGTTTTATTAAGAGTTTCGTTTGTTTTATTCCTTGCTTTTTGTGTCGTTGTGTTCGTGTTCTCATGTCTCGCATGGAAAGACAATTTAATCTCAATGGGACTGCTGATTCAATAAAGATTCAATAAAGCTTCAATAAATAAACATGTGGAAATACAAAAAGTCTAAGCTGGATTCTCTCCCACACAGCCCCCCCCCCCATCCTGAAACGCCTCCATTGGACTCCTTTGTTTACTTCCGGGAATTAGTGACATCACTATGTACCACTTATTCTTCTTTTGGCAAGCGCTCCTACACGTTGGTGATAAGCTAAGGGGAGGGACATCTCTAAGCGGTTGACCAATTACAACAGAGCCAGCCAACTGACCAATCAGGCTTCCAGAGAAACTGGACTCTGGTTTCAGACAGAGGGTGAAAAGAGAGGCTGCAGCACAGGCAGTAGGAGAAAAATAAAGAGCTTTTTGAACGTTAAAGCATGGAGACAGTAGAGAGATCAAATACTGAAATCAGCATCACCATGTGCAGCCTGCAGGCCCAATCAGCAGAGAGCATTACTCTGTGTGAAATGACAATGAGTTTAACATTATTTTCTCTGTTCTGCAGCCATGAATCCCCCGCTTCTCTCCTCTCTTCAACCTGGGTTTAACTTCCACAAACTAATTCCCAGCCACCACCAGACTCCAGGAGCTTTAGGTGGGGTTAGGAGAGAGACATTCAAATTAAAACCTCTCAAAATGCAGGCCCATGGCACAAAGCCTGAGTAAACACACAGAGCCGTCTCTAATAAAGGACGTTGCCCTCTATTCCCTCTCCAGCTTAGATTCCTCATCATCATCGCACGGAGACTGCGGTGCAAACCATTTAGCTCCAAATGAGCTTCTTTCTCCTTCCTTTTTCTGTGAATGCTGATTGGTGGAGTCAGGGGAGGGACAGGGTTGTTGTTGGGGGTCTCTAACAGGCCCATCGATTCGGCCTGGAGGATCGCTGCAGGTCACACACACCCCGCTGCATGTGGACGTGAATATATATTGTTAAAGTAATGGCCTCTAAAGGAAGGGGTATCGACTTCAAGCCTCCGTGGAGTCGTAATGTGAGGAAAAGGTGAAAGTCTCTATTAAAAGGTGCTACAAGGTGAAAGGTTTCCATATACCAGACACGATATGGATATATTTTTGCATCTGCAAATTCAGGGGATTTCATTCACGCTGGACTTGAATGTGTGCATGCTGGTACACAAAGGGAGGAAGCACAAAAGGCGCATTTACATTCTGCAGGGCGCCGCAGATTCCTGGTAGTAAGTACCTTTACATTTTCAAATCAAAATGATGCTGACTGCGACTTTCACGCCAGAAGCCTCCATGATAAGCATTTTTTGTTGTAGTGTTGTGCCATTGATTTACTTTTTTAACACTGCAGTTTATCCCACTGTGACACACAAACATGGAGGACAGCAGGCCTCACACACACACACACACACACACACACACACACACACACACACACACACACACACACACACACACACACACACACACACACACACACACACACAGTGACCTTCAGGTGACACACTGCAGGTGAAAATATGTTTTTTGTGCACAGGACAATTTTAGTTTGATATATTTTTGTTTGTTCCACAAAACATTTTCTTAGAGACTAGTTGAAAGACAATACAAGTTTTTAATTTTTGCCTTGAATGTTCACCTACAGTTAGCAATACATAATGCCCTATGCATATTAAAGCATCTATTTGTATTTGTTTTTTATTGTATCTTTTCACCTGGACTCTGTCCCCTTAAAGTCCCATAATAGTGCCTGCAGAGAAAGACTGACCTGAGGGGGGGGCAGGCCTCCTGCCCCGGGGGAGCAGTCAGGTAACATGATGGTGCGTTTAGGTGTGCTGCACTGGCAGGAGGGGGAGGGGTTGGCCATGCTCCAGTTCCCCTGCAGGAAGATGTCGGTGATGGACGGATCCACCGGGGGAGTGAACCAATCAGAGTCAGCCGAGGAACACGGGAGCTTCCTGAGAGGAAACAAAGGGGGATGACGAGAGTTTATCATTAATTATACGCAATATGCTCTCTTATCAACACAAGTACAACTGATGGGTAGCATGGACCTTCTCAGTTCTCTTAATCCAAGTTGATGTCTTTATTTTTGTTAGAAACCCAAAGATATTCACTTTAAACTGTTCAATCTAAATAGATATTTAACTATTAATCTGATAAAGAGTTTTAAATTATTTTCCTGTTGATACACTAATCAATATGTTGTTGAATCATGGCAGCTCTATTATATTCACTGTTCTTTCATTATCATGAGTTACAATATATATACTTTTGAAAGACTGCCAGGACTAATCTGCTGCATATTTTCAAGACTGATTGATTAATGGTTATGGTTTGCACCATGAAACCAAAAGATATTCACTTTAATATGATAAATAAAAGAGAAAAGCAGCACATATTCAGTCTTGGGAGGCTTAAAACTGCATTTTCTGAATATCCTGGATGAAAAATTGACTTTTTAATTTTCCAAATAGTTCAACTGATTGGTGAGTAACCTCGAAGCTCAATAGGATTCATTAAATGAACATGAGGTAACCAAATGTACTTCCGAAGATGGTTGAATGATGACTGATGTCTGAATTAAACCGTGGTGTTTAAAGTGGTGTAAGCTCGTGTGAACTACATTTGCTCCAAGCTCACCAATGATTCCTTTTCATTCAGTTTGAAAATAAATCCATCAAATTGTTCTGACGAGGATCATACAGAGAGCTATTCTACTCGTGCAGCAGGGTTTTCGGCTCGGACTCCGTGTTTAAAGACATGTTACAACTGTATGAGCACCATGAGGAATGCACGTGCACACTAACACACATCGTATGGCTTCTTGTGAGTAAGAACGTACGGTATTGGGTCTCCAGTCATGCAGCGAGTGCCAAAGCCAGGATTGTTCACCAGCGTCTCCACCACCTTAGACACCTCTGCATTACCCGGGCCATCATTGCTGCAAAAGAATAAGAAATACATAAGTAAAATAAACACATTCAGCAGACTCTTAGACCAAAAACAAATTCCTCTTTTAGTGGAGCCATGATAACTACTAGAAACTGGAACCAGAAAAACATGAAGCTGCAGGCTAAAATATAGGGTAACACTCGGAATTGCTTGTCAAATAGTCTAAAAACATAGATTTGTATGTGTTATTTAAATCATGTTTTCATGTAAGTAGATGTCTCTTGGATTTTGCATTGTATTTGTGTTATGCACAAAGACAAAGTCCTTGTACAGTGAGTGCTAAACGGCTTTCTGATTCAGTTTTGTAACACTGATTTGAGCAAAGGCAGCGTGAGGAAGCCTGATTGATAACAATAAATAACCTTCTATACATCCACGTCTTATTGTGATGAGAAGTGATCGTCTACCGTCTATAATTCATCGGATGATAGAGTTGACTCATCGATGGTTTAAAGAATGACCTTGATGAAATCTAGAAGCCTGCTATCTGTAAGGTGGTGTCGAAAAGAAGCTGAGTATACAGAACGGCGGAGCAGGATAACTGACAGGAGGGATTATTAAAGATTAAAGGCCCGGAAATATTGAACCAGGAGAATCATTTTATTTAAAGGGACCGTTCACCTTAAAATATACGACTGTGTACTACAGTATCCTGTCAATGCGTTTGGAAGAGAAAACCTTATTGACGATCCACCTCATTGAAAAGGACTTTTACCTTAAATACAGCTTGTTATATCCGTGATTATATAGAAAGATTGTTTTAGTTTTTCTTGCAATTAAACACGACGTTGTTAGCTCTTGTCTCCAGTCTTTTTCTTGAGATGTCAAAAAAATGATTATCTTTAGGGGACCAAACAAGAAGAAGGAAAGTGCAAGAGGACATCTCAAGTGGTGCATTTCCAGGAAACACTCCACAGCATTAGGGTCTAGATTAATAAAAAGTGAGGAAGAAAATAAAAAATAGATGAATGGGGAAAGAAACCTTTTGCATCATACCATCAACAGATTGGGAACTAATGTGCCAAAACATTCACAACACAACCAACTCAAACTACTGGAAAGTTAAACATGGGGGATTCAAATTCGCTATTTTAAGACGCCCCAAATCTACTTCAGAGAATACAAGGAGCTTCCATTGGACACAGAAACGCCTCCATTGGAATCTTTTGTTTACTTCTGGAAGATAGTGGCATCACTATGTTACACTCGCTTTTCTACTTGCTAGCATTCCAACAGATTGTATGTGATTTCCTAAGGGGGGGGGGAGGACATTTCTAATGGGTTGACTAATCACAACAGAGCCGGCCAGCTAACCAATCAGAGCAGACATAGGGTGAAAAGAGGTGCTGCAGCACAGGCAGTACGTTACAAATAAAGACATTAAAGCATGGAGACATGGCAGAGGAGAGGCAATAAATACTAATATGAACCTGAAAGTGAGCAAAATAAGGCCAATATTTTTTTCCTATGTTCTTTTTCTGATTTGTAGATTGTAATTTAGTTATGTATTATGTATTTTATCTTACCCTCATAAGGAAGGCTAGCTCTGTTGTTGTAAAACTGTCGAATTAAACTGCAAAATCTGGAGGTTTCGAAGGAGGAGGTATGAGGAGGAAGCTGGACTGTACTCTGGAGAAGCCCTCCATGTAGAGCTTGAGAAGATGAGGAGCTCGTTCAGCGACAGACTCATCCCTCCTCGGCACACCACAAAGCGCCTCGGACATACATTTGGTAGAAATCATTGAACTGAAATCCCTGAACTAACAAAGCTAGTGCTGCAAACTTGTTCTGCTAACTTTGAGTCATATACCCCTAATATGAGCTGCTCAGGATTCTGTGTACAGCCTTTCATTATCATCTGAGTGTCTCCTTTGAACAATCTCCCTATTCCAATTTCATTCTCATTACTAAGCACACACACTCTGCCCTTTATCTTAAGGGTGCCAGGGGAGTTAAAACACAGCGTTTCATAAAGAGCGGGCCGATGGCTTCCTGCCAGCGGTGGCCACAGCCCGCAGACCGTTAGGATTAATACAGTGTTCATTGTCTCGTTTAGAGTGCCTGCATGAAGGTCACACGGAGCCAGATTCAAGTGGTCCGATAGTAAAAATGGATTATGTGCAGCCATCTGTTTTACAATTAAGACTGGCTGGGTTAGCACGATATTCCAGATCGTAAAACTACTGGACAGTCGCAAAATGAAGACTTGTGCATACACACAGAAACAGTGGAACTAATGAATGGTTCATCTAGTCCACATGACAAATCGCAGAACGATGTGAGGAGAAAGTCAAATGAAGGCTGCATTATATTACAGGAATAGGCCCTCTGGTGATAAAACAGTGTTCCTGGGTGTAAGCTTTACTGTCTTTATTCCAAAAAAACCCTACAACTTAAATTAAACCAAGAGGAAACCACTTTTAATCACACCGTCACTCCGGAGAAAAGACAATATTTAGTTATTGGCCAGAAGGAGTGTCGTTAACATTAAGAACACTCCAGTTTTAAAAGGTAAAACATAAGAACCCTTCACAGGAAGTCCCAGGAAAACTCAGTGTGCACTTCAAGCTGTTCAACAGAGAGTGTGTGACACTGGGAAGTGAATACCGTCAATGAAGCACTACTCGTAAAACACATTTTATACCCACTACTCTTAAGCTGCATTGTGTTGACATAAAGAAGAGATATGTTCCCGTCACCTTCTTTAAAAGGGGCCCTATTCTGCAAATTGTTATGGTTGATTTTAGTATTTAGTAGGGTTGGGTACCAAAAACCGTCCAAAACAGTACCCAAACCTATATTTAGTGCCTCTACTGTGACATTTGACATGCTTTAATGTTCGTAAAGGTATTTTTCTCATACTGCCTGTGCTGCAGCACCTCTTTTCACCCTCTGTCTGAAACCAGAGGCCAGCCTGCTCTTATTGGTTAGCTGACCGGCTCTGTTGTGATTGTTAAACTGCCTATAAGCCTATCACGTACAATGTGTTGGAGGTCACCATGTTACAGAAGTAAACAAAGGTGTCCAATGGAGGCGTTCCACTCAGCGGGGGGGAGTGTGTGGGAGAGAAACTAACTAGTGAGTAATAACACACTTCAGGAAAGGGGAAACCACAAGAAGCAGAATAGGGCCCTTCACTAATATCTGTGAAGTGGAAACGATAACTGAGTCAGAATGATGTTTCAGCTCCACGGAGAGAGACACAGACATGATTTAAATGTTTCTGATGATACTTGACTCAAGTACACATCAGTTAGAAAATGAAATTAAGTTTCAAGTGTAGTCACTCGTTTCAATATTCAAGCTTTACTTCAAAAGCTTTATTGACCTTCTGTGAATGGATCAGTTTTAAAGGTGTCTTTAATGAGCTACATGTTGGTATACCCACATCGTGTTCATTAAAAGCGCTGCACTTCATACGGTTAGATGCTTTGAAATAGCCATTTGCATTGTGCTGTATTTTTGTTATGCATCCTCTGCAATAACTAGAGTATTCTACAGACTATAGACTGATGAGCTCACATGGAGCATCACTCATCTTTGTAAACATTGTTTTCATCAAAGCTTAAAGAAATAACTCGCACCCAGGAATAATAATTTCTATGGTGGCAAAACCGTTTTTTTTAATAGTGCCTCTCCTCCTTTGGTGTAAAGTTGTTATGTTCCAAAGTGTAGTAAAAAATATGTGAAAAGTCATGAGTTTGTGATCCAAGTGAGACTTGGATTATTGTGCACAAGACGTGTGAGACTTTGTAAATGGTTTTCATAGAGTTGCTGAAAAATAAATGATCGTTTTGGTAGTGAAGAACTCCTTGATGTTCCTGCCTTTGATAACTATCATTATAAGATGCATAGCATTGTTCAAACATGTCTTTATAGATAGTTTCTGCAAGTTTACAACGTGAAGAATTGCCATCAAAACGTCTTGTGAGGTGTTTACCTGTAAAAAGTGGTTTGAGGCAGCCCGTACATCCAGGGCTGCAGCTCCAGGCTGGGGTACTCCGTGAAGGGGGGCACGATGAGCGAGAAGATCAGAGACAGACACACAAAGGCTGCAGGTAACACCACCTGCAGAGGGAGGACAGAGAGCACGGAAATCTTTTGTCAAATCGGGAGACATTTCTGTTAAATCCGGAGACATTTCTGTTAAATCCGGAGACATTTCTGTTAAATCGGGAGACATTTCTGTTAAATCCGGAGATATTTCTGTTAAATCATGTGCACTTTGCAGGGAAGGAAATTAGTAAAGAGTTGATATCAATGCATAAAAAAAAGTATTTAAAAAATAACAAAATGCAATTTGACTGAAGCACAAAATGTGTACATGTGAGAATACTTTTATTAACCCTCTCTTACTTTATTTACATGCTACAAATTAACTGATACAACCAAAAATAGCGTGCACACATTAATACACCACTTGCAGAGGGAAGACATATGATATACTGCTGCATGTACACATCATTTAAAACTTATATTAAAATCAGGAGAAATTTCATTTAAAATCACGCGCACTTTGCAGGGAATTAATTGCCAAACAGGTTGATTTAACAAAACAGCAATATGTAACAGACATACTTGACTGAACAACTTAAAATGTCTTTCATCAACCAACTGTCAACACATGCTACACAATGACTGATGCAGTCAACAATAGTGTGCACCCTTTAATATGCTCCTCACTGACTTGTTTGGAGTTTGATTAAACACTCGCACCATCATCTGGCCCCTCATGTGTAATTACTTCCTCACCATTCTCTTGTCTTTTGTGGTATTATTATAAACCAGACGCCAGACGAATCTTCTTTTTTCCATTGTGTAATTCTTTTTGTAATTCATTGTTAGAGCTGACAAAAAGGTCAGCGGGAAAAATGCAAGCTATCTTTAATGTGTAATCACTTGCAGGCTGGCGGCAGGGGGAGGTTTGCGTACTCTTGATTAATTGCAGTCCGTGCAATTTGCCAGGCCAATTCAAGATGCTACAATTGAAAGTCCTAAATGTACTGCGTGTGGAAAAGTGCTTGGAGGAGAAAGATAAAGGGCAGCAATGAGAGTGAAAAGCTTAATGGCGGAAGAGAAGAAAGAGTGTTTCTCTCTCTGCAGTAATTGCAGGTGACAGATGCTACTTCTCCCTTTGAGAGAGATCTGCACAAAGTCTTTACGCTCACAAAGCCCAGGCACTGCCATGCACAATGCGTGAGTCTCAAGTTAAGAGGGGATTTACAACAGGATTAAATGCAAACTGGGTATAAACAGAAAAACACAATCAAGAAGTGCTTATTCATCTTCAACTCAAAAACCTCATTACATTGAGTTTGTTTCCCCAACAATCACTCATGCCTATCCTGTTGTATTTCTCCTTTTACTGCATTAAAGTGGATAATAACACCATATTTCACTGATGTGTTAATATGGTCTTCTCTCATGTATAACTAGACTGGTTACAGTGAGTAACAGTGTGTCACCTGCTAGCTAAGATAGACTAATGCCTGGAGTTTAACCACCTATAGCTAGAAGGTGTGCACAATATCATCAGTCAGAGTGTTAAGCAGGTTCATTGATACTTTGTGTTTAATGCAAGTGGAAGGATGTGATGTTTATGCAGATGCATCGTACATTGGACACGGCCAGTTTGAAATAAAGTAGTAAAAGAAGATTATTTTAAGCTTAAGCAAGCCTGGAAGTCCCTCTTGTGTCAACATGTTTTATAAATGAATTCACAGCAATAATACAGAAACCTAAGTATAACAAATGAGCACATCAGGAACCATGCTGTTACTAAAATTAGATTTTAAAACAACACATTCTGAATTCCTCAACATGAATGATAAACTGTAGCTGGAAGGAGTTTAGCGCTGCTCCTTCCTCACTCTGACGTTGCCAACACTTTCCCGTTCCCAACTTTCCTCCCCATAAATCACAGCTTTTGTGTCCCACGCCATAATCTCTTTGTATATTCCCCTAACTGCTTGTATTGGAGTAGATTACCTCACCACACAATCATATCTGCTGACAATGGGGGCTGTTGACATGATGGGAGGAAGAAAAGCTTTAGCCAGATGAATAAAGAGGGAGAGGTAGGACAATGTGCACCTTTGTACATGCACACACACACATTTTAAAAAGGGATGTGCAGGACTGACAGTGACTAATGGGGATTGGTGTCGCAGCAAATTACAGGAAGAACCTGATCGCCCCGCAAAGGTGAAACGAGTCCTCTCTCTCTCTGAGCTGCACCTTTCATAATCTCAGCCTCTCATAACCAATGTTATTCCCTCTGAATCCAGATGTGTCACTTTTTAGAAAAACAGTCCTTGGAAAGTGGCCGCTAACAAAATTGCTTTTGACTCGTTTGAATTACACATGTTTATTAGTTTTGACTTTTGAAATTATATTTATGAGGAACAAAATAATATAGACATGGTCTTAATGGGCCAAAATGAGTCTGTCATCCTTGTAATTGTTATGCCATCACATTTAATACACGGCTAACGAAAACACATGATGAGTGAGCTGTGAAATGAAGGCAAAACAAATCACGGGCGTCACTTAGTCTTTGTGGAGACATCGACAGCCATCAGATGAAAGTGAAGACGTAAACACACCTGCTTACATTTCTACACACTAATGTATTCATTCTCATACAAAGCAAAACTCTGTCAAAGGGGAAAACATCCTGCTCTGGCCACAGGTATACCCATTTGCGTTGGGAGATTCATAAAAAGGAAGAGGAAATGGAACGGTAGCATTTTCTGAAAGTAGATTTGACCAATGTTTCTACAGTATCGTGGCCCCACAAGTTAGTTTGTGCTAAAATACAAAAAGGTGAGAGTTCATGCCTCTTGCACTGACCCTAGGTATACACATAGAGACATGATTTATACGGAGGAAAAGGACATTTGTATCTCTTCTGTGTTTATGAAGTAAGAACAGCACCATTTTTCCAAAGCAGCTTTTACTCATACATATATTCACGGTTACTCGGACACAAGTTTATATTGAATTGCAAATGTGAGAGCTTAGGAATCCTGCACTGACCCCAGGTATACACGCTTTCCAGCCGATAAAGAGAGATTTATACAGAGAAAGATGAAAGTTTGTTTTTACTAATCTATTCACAGTAACCTTACCACACGGGGCACACGTTTGTGTCAAAATGCAAAGGTGAGAAGTCATGATTTGACATGCTCTGGCTTGCACAACTAGAAATGTAACTAGAAATACAATGTTTTTTGTCTTGTGAAAAGAGCATCGAGACAGAGTTTTTGCACAGTTCTAAGATAGAAAGTTATTTGAAATGCACTCTATGACAAAGAAGAGTTTCACAACATTATACTGCTGATGTGACAGCAAGCATATTGTCATCTTGTGAAAATGGATCAGCAGGTTTTTAGAGCTTCCACTAAAGTTGTTCTCTCTGCAGAAACACACACTCTGTCCTATCTTCTTCATCCTCTGGAGTGTTCCTCTGGGATTAATGATGATGATAGTGGTGCACATTACTGGTGATCCTACACCCATCAGCACATGGTTCAATCTTTATCAAAAACATTCTTTGTGTCGATTTCTTCTTCCACAACTTAAATTCCATCGACTAAATCAAGATGGAAGACGTGCCTATTCCCTGAATGACTGTACTTTATCATATTTGTCACTAAGTGATTTTGAACATGTTTTTCCTCCAATCCTTCCTTGTGTAAGCCTTCACTTCATCACTCTCACAGATGGAGGACAGTACCTGTGCGAGGAGGCCCTTGCGGCTGCGGCGGGCGTGGTGGAAGCGTTTGATGAAGAGCGCCAGGAACTGTCTTCTAATCAGCTGCCCCCCGACAATGACCGAGGACCCCCGCCCACTGAGGCTGGCGCTGTTCTGGAGGTCTGCAGAGACATTAAATCAACCATTTTCTATTATCGGAGCATATGTAAAATACTTGACAATATCATCAAGAATTTTGAAAAAAAAATTGTGATATTTTGGAAATAAGAGGTTATAATTCAGGGCAGTGTCAACTCCAACACTCTATATATTGAAATGTCTATATTTAAGATTAAATATCTTCTTTTTTTTTTTTAAAAGAATCACATTTTCAGTTTTCCCATTTTGGATGTTTTGGTAAGAAACTACACAAGAGCAAACTAAGGTAGAATACAATATTTGTTTGTATATGTATTTTTGAATAGCCTTCAGTTTAAATGTAATCCTGTTACAAATAACATAAATGTAACTGCATTTTTAAAAAGCTAAACAATCACCACAGAAAGTTCTCACTTATATTCTTTATTGTGTACTTGAATTATACACAATACATTCATTTAATATGTACATTAGTTAAAAAGCTTTGTTGTGTGTCAATATAATTCAATACATAGCAAAGCATTTCATTACTTCACAATCAAATTAGAAATGTACAGATGTCGATAGGCAATGATCTGCATGAGAAATAGACACAAATATATATATTTGGTTCTAACTATAATTTTTCTAGTCGATTATTATATTATACCTTTTTGCGATAAATAAACTCTGCACTATCACTTCAATACTTAATGATTAGAGCATCCCATATTCTCTTGTGTTATTTATTATCCACTTAATTTAAAATCTCATTTGGCGCTGACTTCCTGCAAAATTCTTCAACTTTGAAAACATGTGCGTTTTGTTGGCATTTGCAGTGTGGTGCGCTGCCCTCTTTAGGCTTGAGATGTTTCTCAGTAATGACTTGAGAACAAACAGAGGAAGGTGTTGGTGAATGAGGCCCATTGTATGAAAGTACGGCAGTCAATTTCTTTCCTTTGGGTAAAATGGAATAGCGGTTTAGATAAAGAAAAATACTTTTTGTTTCAGACAGAGCTTTGTTTATGCCCTCTTTTCTAAATGGCCACTGAGGTGAATCCTCAAACCGAAAGAAGTTCATAATTGAAGAATGGAATCAGACATTTGCTACAATAATACAACTAAGAATGAAATACAGTACGCACCTTCCACTTTACTTGTGAACTTCTCCTTTAACTCTGCAAGGGACACAGAAAGAAAACAAGTTTCTATTTGAAGACTTTCTGCATTTCACCAATGTTTAATTGAGCTTCCCTCATTAAAATAATAACTTGCCTCTCTTTGCAGAGGCGCTGGAGATGCTATTCCTCTTGAATGAGTTTCTCCTGCAGTCTTGCTCCAGCAGCTCCTTTGTTGCTGTGGGAATACAAATAAGATATGTTGTTTTGGCCTGACCCAATTTAAGGTTATAAATAACAAAACTAACAGCTACCTGCCCTGCATGATGCCATATTATATATATATTACTCCTGTAAGAGCACAAAGCCAGGTGCCTCAGGAATGAGATTGTAGGAGTTAACTGTGAGGTTGCGTGTTGTTTGGAGGAAGATGTATCTACTGAAGAATACAAATTGTTGAGAAAACACTTTTAAAGATAACTGTACCTGTACTGTACATGCAATTTGAGTGACGTGTCTCCTACTTATAAATCACATACATCTTTTCTTCTTCAAAGTGCTGATTGTTATTGTTTTATTCAGCTTTCAACCTTATACAGTATTAATAAGTGCCAGATTCTGTCTCCAAAGAAATGTAGACTGTCGAAGTAAAAATGCAAAAATAAGACTTTAATGATTTTTTTGTTTTCCGCTTGGAGTGATTGTGGATGCATGCGAAGAGAAGGGGCCTCGGGTCATCTCTCTACATAAACGTGGAATGGGAAGAGGAATTGAAGATTCAAATTAGAGAGGAAGAATGGTTTCACATACATAACCCCACTCCTGAAGCATGGAGGGGAATATGATGGAAAAGTTTAGTCTACAATAAAAATCAGGCAACAACTAAAGAAGTGTTGAAAGATAAAGCGACAGGGAAACTATTGTTGCTTTTGTAAAAATGCTTGTGAAATAGCTGAAACAGCTGCCCTGACTAAAGTTGTACTTGCAGTAAATACGAAGCTGTTACCAGACATTGGCTTCATGTAAACAACAGGAACTGTAGCTAGAAACTGTTAAGACTTTTGTGATGGAAAGGTTGACAGACTGGGCTCTGGTTTCAGACAGAGGGTGAAAGAGGAGAGAGCACAGGCAGTATGAGAAAAATATGTTTTTGAACATTAAAGCATGGAAACATGTCACAGTAGTTTAGTAGTATATTCATGTTGGGATGCAACAAAAATCTAATATGATATCTAGATATCATATTAGATTTTTGGACATGACAAAGGAATCCTTACAGCTTAATAAAGTTAACCTTTTATTTTAAAGGTTGTTTGGATTGTTCCATAACCAACGTCTCGATGATCTTTGACTGTTTTTCTTAAAATATCTCCTTAAAGTTTCAAGTAAGAATCAGAGTAACACACATGTTTGATCTTATTTAAAAAATATGTGAAGAAGGGAAGTTACTTGGAAGCCAGTGTAAGATAACAGCCATTTCATTTGACATGATTTCAGTTTACTTACTTTCTGAATCCACTCCGGTATCATCTGCCACTTTGAGAAATATCTGTGAAATAAAGCAAATATATTTTAAAAAAAAACGTTTTAAGACATTCTGTCACATTAACCATGCACAGCAGCAGAATGAAGGCAAACATAGTGATTGTAGTGGGTGAGAGAAAGCTAATATGCTATAAGAGATTTATTTTTTGTTACACTTATCAAAATGTATTCAACAAATAACAATCCACCAAAGAGCCTTTAAGTAAACTAACAATTTGTGATTATTAAAACAATGACGAAGCATTTAAAGTGACCTTCCCTTATTTCTTTCTGTTTTAACATCCCCGCTCTAAAAAGTCTTCTCTGGCAAGGCTTGCAAAATGTGATTTTACGTGGTAAATCACAGTCAAAATAATAGAATAAAACTGCTGCCTTGTCCATAAAACAGTCAGAAGCTGTTAAAAAGCATTTTCATAACAATAACCAGAGTAGATGTGGTTTTATTAGCAGCTTCCATGAAACATCCATCCGCCCCTTTTTCATGTATTTATCACTGTCACTCACTTATTTCTACTGAAGTGCAGCCGGACTTTAAAAAGAAAACATGACGGGTAAAAAACCTTGTGGTGTCGGAATGGAAGACATTCAAAAGGAATTCTTAACATCGCCCGCAAGCTGAGAGAGTGTGATTCATGTCGGAGTTACACACAAAGAATTAACCAACATCTCTCTGCTTTATGTCTCAACACGAGGCTGACAAAATACTGAGAGGGAGAAACAAATAATAACAATAATAAAAAACGTGTTTTACGTTCCTGATTTAATCATAGGCCACGGGTTGTGCTTGTCAATTATCCTTTAAGTTTCAAATCTAATTGGACCAATTATCCAGTTAGCTGCACACCTGTTGATTGTTGCCTATCTGTGTGTTTGTATTGGTCCACTCTGACTGTGATGAAGACGCAGCTGTGTTCTAATGCTCGTCTGTTAAAGGCAGCTCATTAATCAGCGCTCCTCTCTCTGTGCTCCAGCTGAGAGCGTCTGATGAGCTGCTGCAAAATAAGTGTTTCAACAAACCTGAGGATTACACTGAGACTGCACCTGAGAGTAAGTTCTAGGCTAAAAGGTAAGGTTGCTTCTTATAGTGCGGGGGGGGTGTGATTTATATTCTGTCCACCAACATTCGGAATGCTTATTTTCAGACTCAGAGAAGAATAATGGTAGGACAAGGAGAAGCAGAAATAAACAGTACATATGGTGTGCAGTGTAATTGAAAAAGAAAAAGGTTTGTATTTAGTGTATTATTTTTGAATTAAAATGTTAGCTTTTTTGTTTTGTATGTCATAATTATGATCATTCATTCCTTAGGATTCAGAATCAGTAGGATTGAAGCAGTACATTTTTTTTTTCTCACAATAGTAACATATCTATGTCTCACATATAGCACATTCGCTAATGCTTTATGACATTATATGTGTATTTTATATTATGTAGCCTCATTCTAAGCTGCTCTGAGTGTCTGCAGGCTGTTCTCCCAGCCGTACCTCCTCCAGCGTGGTGTCGGAGATGCCGTAGCTGGTGAGTCCGAGCTCAGCGGAGGCCCGGTCCAGCTCTGAGAACAGCAGAGCGAAGGTCCCGTCTCTGGCTCCGGCGTAGGGCAGCACGAAGGTGATCTCCTGGCCGATGCTCTCCAGGAAGACGGCCCCGGGGACGTGGCGCCGCACAATCTGACCCACATCTGACACGTCTGCAGAACCAGAGACAAAGAGTTACTGAAAACACCTCAGGATGGTTCCTGTGCACACACCAACAGCTCTGTGGGAAATATATAGTTATATTTAAAGTCTGTTATTATTAGTTTTACTATTTTATATCACATTAAAGTTGATTTCTTTGGGTATTCAATTGTATTGTGATTTGTATGCATTATTGTTACTATTTTTATATCACATTTTAGTTCACTTCCTGGACTGACAAAACAAGATATTTGGATTTTCTTATTTAATTTTGTTTAAATAAATATATTACATTTATTTGATCTTTTTATTATGAATTCTGACTTAAATCTTTCTTATTTTATTAAAAAAATGTATTTATCAAATGTAATCTTTAACCAGCAATAAATGGATAATACTATTTGGTTGTAGCCCTACAGAGAACTCAAAGAACTTTACAGTAAGTGAAATAATATCAGTCAAATGAAAACAAACATCTGAGAGAATATGTTAGAGCAGTTGTGTAACGTATGGAGAGGTTTTGACCTTTAAACACAGTGAAAAGATTTGTAGACACATTTCTGCAGCCGGTCTCTCTGAGAATCAATCAGCTCAGAGTTGCAGACACACGGGGTCTATTATCGATCAGAAACTCTCAGACATAATTACTGCAGCAGCTGCTGCCACTTTATTTATGAAGAACAAAATAGATCCGCCTCACTCTGGATTATTTGTGCGAGTGTGTTTGTCTCTGAGTAACAAAGAGGAATGTGCTGTCACTTCAGGAAATGTGAGGATGATATTTATGGCATTAACAATCTGAATATCATGTGTGGAATCTTTATGAAGATGTGAGTATTGATTTATTTTCCATAAACTCTTACTGTTGTTACCTGTACCATCAACCTGCAGCATGTGTTGATTCTCTGTGTCTTTACATGTACTTCTCATTATAAAACTTCATTGAGAAATAAGTTCTGGAAAATGAGATTATAGATATGAGATAATAATTGGTTGATAATTTATCATAAAGTACATAAGCAATGAGCTAAACTTTACAAATAAGATTTGAAAAGCATTTCGCCGTAGTTTCATATTTGTTCTTGCTATCATTTATCAAAACGTCTACTCTAGATGCTTTGAATTGTTTGAAACAAGAATGAGTCGTTGTTAGAATAGAAGGGGAAATGGATCAAACTGTTTATTTCAGACCTGTATGTTCTTTTTATGCATTAATGTGACAAGATATTAGAATAATGAGACTGGTCATGTGTTGTGTGTGTTTTTGACTTGCCAACTTATATATTAAATCACAAGAAAACCTTCCAAAGACCTTTTGATGCTGAAGAGCTTTGTACATTGTCCCCTTTATCAGCACAACCAAAGAATTTATGAAATTTCATTTTAGTTTCTAGTTATGTTTTATTGAATTTGAAGGACAATCAATAGAAGAGAGGATAAAAGCCACCTGAGACTGAAGATATCACATGGATGTGCTTAGAAAACCTCACAATGTACTGTAATGACATCACTATGGTAAACTCGTGCTTCTATTGGCTCGTGCTCCAACACATTGCACGTTATAGGCTAAGGGCCGGGACATCTCTAAGCTAGTTGACCAATCACAACAGAGCCGGCCAGCTCACCAATCAGAATATACTCGGTCATAGTATAGGCACAAAATACTAATATGAACATGAGCTGAATATGTTCCCTTTAATATAAAAATGAAGGAGAAGAACTCTGGATCAAGGCCATCAATTATTTGAAGAAATTCAAAATAGAATTCCTATCATTTAATGTTTAAATGTCCACATTGTCTTCAAGTTCTCTATATTCACAAAGCTCTTCTAAGTCTTTCTCTATCAATAAACTACTTCCCAATGTGTATTCACCATTTCAGTGTGACATTGAGGTGCACTTCTAAGGTGGTTACATGATTTCAACAGCTTTCCTTTACAGTCCGCTGGTTTGGAATTGGAAATGTGGAACAGAAATCAATGAGAGAATGGATGTTGGTAGCATTTTGAGGAGTTTTATGGTTATTGTTTGTGTGTGTTGGAGCTGTTCCCAGATCCCTGTGAGGTTTTGGAGCTATAGCTGCTAACTGTGTGTGTGCTACCGTGACGTTTAACACAAGGTTTGAAAAAAGAAGGTGAGGTGAGCTAATCCTGAAATATGGAGGCAGGAAAGGAGATGTGGAGGAGATGCAGTTACTGTAGTACCTGAGGGGTCCGAGTTGGCCCAGGTCTGACTGCCGAGGCCGTCATCTGGACTGCCGCTGCGAGAGGTGAAGTCTTTCTCCTGTTAGTGACATCAAAACACAGAGGACACATCTATAAACAACAACATGTTCATTTTAGTAGACTCTATCAAACATTAACATTGAAGAGTATTAGGAGTATTTGGCTTCAGGAAAAGTCTCAGTTTACCTTTGGAAATACTACATACACACTAAAGAAGACAAACAAAAAGGTATCTGAGGAATATTTAAGATTTAATATATTATTATTATATATAATATTGTTGATAGGGTTACTAAGAAATACAAATGTTGAATATTTAAATATGTCTGCCTATTGTAGAGGACCAGATCAATGGGTCTGATTACCTACTTTGAGGAACTCATTGTAAAGGCGTGTAAATCACAAGTTTTCATTACATTTTTATATTTTAAAGATTCCTGCTGATTTAACAAAGTCACATACAGTGGGGAAAAAAAGTATTTAGTCAGCCACCAATTGTGCAGTTCTCCCACTTAAAAAGATGAGAGAGGCCTGTAATTTTCATCCTAGGTATACCTCAACTATGAGAGAAAGAATGGGGGAAAGAATCCAGGAAATCACATTGTAGGATCTTTAATGAATGAATTGGTAAATTCCTCTGTAAAATAAGGTGAGCAAAAATCCCAGAACGACACGGGGGGACCTAGTCAATGACCTGCAGAGAGCTGGGACCAAAGTAACAAAGGCTACCATCAGTAACACACTACGCCGCCAGGGACTCAAATCTTGCAGTGCCAGACGTGTCCCCCTGCTTAAGCCAGTACATGTCCAGGCCCGTCTGAAGTTGCAAGAGAGGCATTGAATGATCCAGAGAAAGATTTGGGGAAGAAAATGTCAATGGTCACAATGAAACCAAAATAGAACTTTTGGTTAAAAACTCAATCTAGAACGCTGTTGGAGGAAGAAAAGAATGCTGAGTTGCAGTCCAAAGAACACCATACCTACTGTGAAACATGGGGTGGAACATCATGCTTTGGGGCTGTTTTTTCCGTGCAAAGGGACCCCAGGACGAACTTGATCCCGTTAAGGGAAAAGAAATGAAATGGGGCCATGTATCGTGAGATTTTGAGGCTTTTATAACACTTATGGAGAAAGAGGAAGTTTCCCCCCCTCCGTTGGCATTCAAGAAATCAGAACGAGTGGTTGGCAGTTACCCTCTTGCCAGGGGAAACTCTTTGCCATGTCGATGGGGTAGACAAATGCAATTTTTCTAGCCCACTATTTTTTCTGGAACTCCACTAAACTGATGGAAAATGCTGGACTTGAATGCACCCCCCTGTACTTTGTTGCGAACCCGATAACCACTCCTCTGTTCGATGCGCTCAGTCCACAAACAAGTCACAGAGAAAGAGACTCAGGTTGGCAATCAAGTAGCAATTAGGAGCTCATACAGAGCAAGAGGAATCAAGCCAGGTGCGTTGGTCAAGACACAAAATCTCAAGACGCTGACTGTCATCAAACAAAAAAAGGAGCTGTANTCACAGAAGTGTTCAAATCTGGATCAGTCTGTATCAGATCCGTTGCAGCCCCTTTTTTAGAGATTTGGGTATGGAGGAAAAGAGAGAGGGTTGTGTTTTCTGACGAAAACACAACCCTCTCTCTTTTCCTCCATACCCAAATCTCTAAAAAAGGGGCTGCAACGGATCTGATACAGACTGATCCAGATTTGAACACTTCTGTGACGTCACAGAAGTGGCGCTACGGCTATTGGGCCAACTCCACCAATCAGGAGGAGACAGCCACGGACATTGCCGTTCGAAAGCGCTGGAGACGCTGTAGTACATATGCCAGGCCTGTAGATGGTGCTGTTCACACTGAATCCGAGCATGAAAGGCAGTGTTAAATTGAGCGAAATGAGGAATGACTAAAATGCATGATCTGTTTGGTATTTTGAAAAATAAAAAGTATAAATATGCCTTATATAGGTATGGTCCTACACTATATTATTCAAATATAGCATGATAGGTCCACTTTAAGAGAAATCAACAGGTGAACAGTGTAGCGTGAAGCACTTAAAAGACTAAACGGAAACATGGTCACATATTCCCAAACATTATTTTCTGATAAAGTTTGCATTTTTAAAAAGACTGAAAATGTTTTGAAACTTAAAGTTAGAACATCACCAGACTCAGCTGCTCTGAGGATTGTGTTGGCCTCTTTTAGCTTCGTGTTTTGTTTTTTGGCAGTCTGCGAATTCAGCGCTTTGATTCGCTCTCACAGCTGAAGCTCATTTTCCATAAACAATTGAAGTATGTTCGCTGACAGATCACCATTTGCAGCACAGAGTTGGAGCTCGGGCCCCAAGGAAAAAAACATCATGGAGGTTTAAACTCAGTAGCGTTTAAATATGTTTTTGACGCTAACTTTTCATAATTTGTTCTGTGTTTACCAGAGGATACAGAACACTACAGACACCTTGCTGGATTTAACCGGACGTAACATGACAGACTTCCTGCTGAAGAAGTTTGAAAACTCGGGGAAGACGAGGTAAAGCTATCAGAATGAATGTGTTAATGTTTTTTGAATAAGATGCATTCACATAGAGAAAAGTGACAATCTTCAGGCAAGTTGTTTTTTTACACAAAAAGACTGAAATTACTACCTGGGCTGCTGTTGAGAACACGTTAAGCAAACTGTCAGCGGGAGACATATTTAATTATAAGGTTGATGTGTTTACTCCTGCATGTCATGTGTCTTTGTGTGTGTCCTCCTCTCTGCCCCTCTGCAGGTTGGGAGGCCTTTCGGTCGGAGGAGTAAACTCTCAGGTCCGTATGAGCGAGGCGGCGATCGAAGCGTCATTTAGAGATCTCCGGGAGCTCATCACTCCTTTCCAGGTTTGTCTGATTATACCAATCGATTTGGAGTGTGTTTATCTGCAACACGAAGAACAAAAACACCTCAAATCAGAAGATCTATAAATGTGTGCTGGATACAAAAAACAATCCACAAATAGTTTGAGCCATTGTATTTTAGTGCCCGAGCCTCTCGCTGTGCCCCTTTCTCTTTATTTTATGTTTAGGAGCAGATTGCTCCCCCTAAAATCACCAGATCTATAAATGTGGGCTCAAATTTAAGTTTCATGTTCAAGAACAAATCCACAAATTGTTTCTGATTTTATACATTTATATGTTGGTGCCTGAGCCTCTTGCTGTTCCTCTTTCTCCTTCACTATATGTCTTCAAGAAGTTCAGGAACAGAAACAAAAAGTACCTCCCTCAAATCACCAAATCTATAAATGTGGGCTCATTTCAACTCAATTTCCTGAGTTTTATATCCAAGAACCAATCCAGAATTGTTTCTGAGTTTATAATATTCTACTGTATTGCCTGAGCCCCTCGCTGTTCCCAAACGCTAAATGTTTTTGTGGCTCAACTGATTTCTCTCCCTTAGATCACCAAATCTATAAATTTGGGCTCCAATTTCTCAAGTTTTATATTCAAAAACAAATGAAAGTGCCTGAGCCTCTCGCTGTCGCTCTTTCCCCTTAACTAAATGTCTTTGTGAGAGGTTCAGGAGCAGTTTTCTCTCCTGCCAAGGCTGCCTTCAGAGCGGGCAGCTCTTAATTGGAGCGTTCATTGTTCGCTCAGCTTTGAGCGTTGGGTTCAGATGATGGTATTTGTTGAGGACTTTCATACCCCGCTGTATTCTTAAAATGAGGAGAGGAGGTTATATTCACTCAGTGTCCATGGAAACAGGCTGTGGTTGTCTGAGCGTCACGTTGGATACATCTGGGTCCTTTCTGCACACAATCAGGCAAATTCACATTCACAAGGTATTCCTGAGCTCCATGTCCCCTCCTTGTCTGTGATTAACATTTTGGGCCGTTCAAACCTCTCTGACACCAGCTAATTGCCCCCCTCCAGGACCTCTGCACTAATGTGAATTTAATTCGTGCAGCAGGGATGATGTAACCCTAATGGCCGGGCATTAGCTCTGCATCCCGCGTTATTAAAGTGCCGCTCTGTCCTTGGCCGTTAAGATGTGAGGCTCTAACAGGAAGTGTGTCTGCACTCTCAGCCACCTGCGCTGCTTGGCTCTGAGATCTCTGTTTAATTGCATTTCCTGTGTCTCGCAGGTAGAAATAGGCTTCTGAGGTGATGCTAACGACGAGGAGAAGAAAGCCCGAGTGCTGGAAGTTTGAATAATAAAGCCAGGAAAAAAAACATCTGAAATAGCACCAGTGTCTATATGTAGAGTAGTATCGCTGCTCCTTCTCAAACAACATGTCTTTAATCATCTATATCTTACAGGGAAGTAAGTCCTCCCTAGCAAGATCTCAACACACACACACACACACACATTATGAGTGTCACACTGACCATATGAGCTCTCTGTCTCGGTGACCATTGATCTGTGCAGCCCTCTTTGGGAATACAAGCCCACAGAGCCGCCCACACTCGAGTGGCTTTATTGCTGAGTCGTTGGCCTTGACTCCTCTGGCCAAAGCAGCCTTGTCATTGTCCTTGAGCGAGGAGGGTGGTGGTG